GAGAGAGGCTCCGCTCCTGGGCCAGATGGTTTCTCTTCCTTGTATTATAAAAAAATTGGCTGCCACTCTCTGCCTGTATTTAGCTTGCTTATTTAACTTCCTACGGGATGGGATAGCCTTTTAGAATCCTCACTGAATACAGCATATATTACAGTCATCCCCAAACCAGTCAAGGACACTGGGGATGTTGGTAACTATAGACCCATATCATTGATCAATAATGATTTGAAACTTTTGACTAAAATCCTGGCCAATCATATATCTTCATTTATAAATTATTATATACATAAGGATCAGGTAGGATTTATATGAGGGAGACAGGGTCCAGACAAGATCCGTAGAGCAATCGATGTAGTGTCTGCTGCATTCCCATTGGGATGGAGGAACCCCCAAGAAAGATTTATACTTTCCATAGATCTACAGAAGGCTTTTGACACAGTGTCTTGGTCCTGTCTTTTCAGGGTCTTGGAAGTTTGGGGATTCTGTCCAAATTTTTTGAGGTATACCACCCTTTAGTCTTCCCCGCTAGCGCAGGTCCATTTGCAAGGTCAGTACTCCCATTCAATCCAGATTGCTCAGGATACTCGGCAAGGCTGTCCCCCCCTAATTTTTGCTATGGCAAGTGAGACTGAACCGATATACGAGGTGTACACTGCAGTCAGCAGGAAAACATAAGTGTGCGCTGTTTGCAGACAATCTTTTGGTGTTTCTGACCTCTCCATTAATCTCTACTCCTAAAGTGGTCCGCTTACTATGGGATTTTGGGAAGGCGACGGGATTGGAAGTATATATGACTAAGTTGCTAGCTCTGAATGTCTTTTTTCAGCTGGATTGATTGCACAACTAAGGGATTCCTTTTCCTTTGGCTGGAGTGACACCCATATTCCGTATTTAAGGGTGCAGCTCTCTGCAACTGTGGAATCCCTTTATAAATTCAATTATTCAACACTTTTTCCTAAGCTTGAGGCAGATCTACAGCAGTGGTTGGCACACAATCTTTCCTGGCTGCACTCAGTCAAGATGACCTTGCTTCCAAAGCTCCTCTATTACTTTAGGTCTCTCCCCATTCTTGTCCCACGATTGGTGTTACAAAAATTTCCAGTGCTCAGTGATTAGGTATGTTTGGAGCAATAAGGGCCACCATTTGCTAAAAAGATCCTCTTCTGTCCCAAGACCAGGGGTGGGTTGGGTCTACCAGATTTTAATCGGTATTATCAGGCAGCACAATTGACCCAACTCTTGGCGGATTATTCGAGACGCTCTAAACTGGATTCGATCTATATGGAGAGGATGGTGGTCCCAGGTTATACATTGGACTATCTACTTTGGTGTCCCCCCAGGAACTCCCGTCTATCTTGGCTCCAACACTTTCTCAAATCGGTTGCAGTATGGGATAAGCTCCAAGATACAGTGCATCTAGAAAGTATTCACACTGCTTAACTTTTGCCACATTTTGTCCTGGGCGTCAGGCGATAGGATTCCAACATCCCTGATAGCGTTTAACTTTTGCTACATTTTGTTATGTTACAGCCTTATTCCATAGTGGATTAAATTCATTTTTTTCCTGGACATTCTACAAGCAATACCCCATAATGACAACGTGAAAGTAGTTTGTTTTGAAATCTTTGCAATTTATTAAAAATAAAAAAAAAACTACATGTATATAAGTATTCACAGCCTTTGCTGAATACTTTGTTGAAGCACTTTTAACACCATTTACAGCCTCAAGTCGTTTTGAGTATGATGCTACAAGCTTGGCACACCTATTTTTGGGCAATTTCTCCCATTCTTCTTTGCAGTACCTCTCAAGCTCCATCAATTTTGAGTGTCATGGCAAAGGCTGTGAATACGTATGTACATGTGTTTTTATTTGTTTATTTTTAAAAAATTGCAAAGATTTCAGAACTAACTTCTTTCATGTTGTCATTACGGGGTATTGTTTGTACAATGTTGAGGAAAAAAATTAACAATCCATTTTGGAATAAGGCTGTAACATAACAAAATGTGGCAAAAGTTAAACGCTATCAGGGATGATGGATTTCTATCCCCCAACGCCCGGGACATGTAGTACCGGGCAGGTAGTTTTTCTCTGCCTTTAGTCCTGCTGTGAGCAAGCAGCGAGCTCACCTGTCAGGTGGAAGTATTTGGGCAGCAGTGCTGCCGCCCGATTGCTTGACTGTACGTCTCATGTAGATCACAGGAGTGTAGTTGGTTTTGCTCCTCTGATCCTTTCTCCGCTGAGAGCGGACTGAAGTCTGGGGAAAGATGCCGACTTCAAAGTCGGGATCCACCTCGGAGTCTGGAGCAGCACCTGGCTCAATCTCTCAGCAAAGCACTTAAGAGCCTGAGCCAGCAGCTCCCTCCCCTACACAGCCCAACTCTCCAGTGAGTGCTGGGGTGGCAGAGCAGAGAGCCGGAGACTGACAGTCACTGCTCTCTGAAGACCGAGAACGGAGTGATCAGCAGTGTTTAACCACTTGCCCTCCTGAGGATTCTCCCCCCCCCCCCCTTCCTAACCAGGCCATTTTTTGCATTAGGGCACTGCGTTATTAAACTGACAATTGCATGGTCATGCAATGCTGCACCCAAATGAAACTTACGTCCTTTTCCCACTAATTGAGCTTTCTTTCGGTGGCATTTGATCGCCTGTGCGTTTTTATTTGTTACACTATAAAAAAAAAGTAACAATTTTTGAAAAAAAAAAAAAAACAGTATTTTTGACTTTTTGCTATTAAACATATCCAGTAAAAATCTAATTTTGTCATAAATTTAGGCCAAAAATGTATTCTGCTACGTCTTTGCTAAAAAAAAAAAAAAATCCCAGTGTATGTAAATTAATTGGTTTATGTGAAAGTTATAGCGTTTACAAATGGCGCTATATATATGGGTATTTTTATCTATTTTTATTAGTAATGGAGGCACCCAGCAACTTAGCGGTACTGCTGTGGACATTCTGACACTGGGGGGAACTGACTTGGTGTCACTGGGGCTGTGTACAGTCATCCAAAGCAGTGTGCCAGAGCTGACAGGGAGGAGAACTATTAGTAAACAAAACAGTTATCCTCCCCATGAGAGATCCTCGGTAATCATCGGCCGGGACCCGGTGATTGACAGCTGTGGCCGTGAATAGCAGCGTGGGTATGGCACGCGCACCCTACCCAGAAATGCAAAATCACATGTATATATGCATGATTTTGCGCACCTATGCCGCCCTGTAGCAGTATTTCTGCTATAGGGCAGTCGGGAAGTGGTTAATTGCCTAGTTCTCAGTCTTAGAGCCAGTGGGTGACAGATGATGAATCCACCTAGGTGAGTTTAGTAGTTTTTTTTTTTTTTACATTTCCAAACTTCTCTTTTGGCTCAGTTGGGTTAAAAAAAGAACTGTTCATCAAGTGTGCAAATTCAAATGAAGGAAACTCCATGTCACATGGAGGAATAGAATACCGGTTATAGTATCATGAAAAACACACAAATCTCATACACCTTCTATTATGTAAAAAAAAGAATGTCAGTCTGGAAGTTCTTGCAATTGGATGGAGGTGAGCTCGTATTTCAGTGTTAATTGTGTGCCCATGCAGGGCCGTGTTTTTCTGGCCTGAGGATGCACAGGTGTTACAGTCCCATAGATGTCTATTGGGACACATGGCTGCATGTGACATCTGTGTTGGTGTGGGACTCTGAACTTACCCTGGGTGCATTGGGGACATGCACCTGGACGGATGTCACATTGGGACATGCAGTTTATAGGCTTCTTTATGGTACAGGATTCTCTTGGATACATATATTTACTTTAAGGGTTGGTTCATGCCATAGAAACGCAGTCCAGATGCGTTTTGGAAGCGTTTCTGCATGCGCGTTTTTGGTGCGTTCCGGTGCATTTTTGATGCTTTACGATTCAATTTTCTCCCTCTCTTTTTCTTTAATGTAAATAGGATCATGTGCGTTCCAGTGCATTTTTGGTGTGATCAGATGTGTTTTACCGCGCTACAGTACAGTTCTGTGCAGAAAAAATGCAGCATGTTCTACTTTTTTTTTCTGCAACCGGAACGCACTGGATCTACAACCACTGATGTGAACTATAACATGGACAACCATATAACCAACTGTCTGTTTTGGATGCAGAAAAAAAAGCAACTGAATCGCATGTAATGTGAATTAGCACCAAATGTCCTGCAGATGTAGTTCAAATAACTACCCAGCTGAGGGTTTATGCAACTTCACTGCACTGCAAACAGGCTTTCTGGTCTGCATATTGATTTGTTATGTCTGCGTTATGCTTTAAGAATAAATATGATTTTGAGGAATTAGTATGTGTATAGTGGGTTTATCATCGGACAGGGGTTATTTAGCATAATTATTCTTTATATCATTTTTATATTATCAAATTGAAGATGGGGCTTTGAGTCTAGGCTGGGTTTCTACTATTATTATTTTTTGTTAGAATTTCTTATACCGGCAACTCCTCTACATCCTTCCTTTGTTCTGCATATTATGTTGAAACTTTGAGGTTTTCATTCTTTTCTTGCGTTAAATGGTCACAAAAAACTGATTGGAACATCTGTGTGAAAGGGGGCTAAAGCCATCAAATGGCTAGCGTCATAACTGATCACATGTGCAGCACTACAGCAACAGCAGATTAGACAGGCTAAGATGGCAGCTTCCTTGGCTGCAAAGGGTGGGAGGGTTTAGTTCCACTTTAAGGAATCTTCAGTATGCTTCTAGTTTGCATGGAGAAATACCTTGAAAACAGGTGTATTGGAAAGGTCTTTGCAGCTGTATGGGCTCTGAAGGACCCACAGCTGGAGACAGCAGGCAGATCCTCCAGATGAAGTTTAGTAGGTATTGGATCAATAAGGGCCTAAACAGTCTGTGGGGTCCTTGAGTCCAAGTAAGAGACTGCTTTTGTGGCCAGTGACCTCTTTTAAACCACCTCCCGCCCGCCATATAGTAATATGACGGGCGCAAGGTGGCTCTCTCGTTCTGAGAGGACGTCATATGATGTCCTCCCATTCTCACTGCGCATGCGCGGCACAGGGAGGGTGCAGCGCGGCGATCGGTGGTGCGCTCTGTCCCTTGGACACAGCGGATCACCGATCACGGAAAGAGCCGAAGATGTCGGCTCGGTCATGTGATCAGCTGTGTCCAATCACAGCTGATCACATGTAAACAGGGAAATGCCGGTTATTGGCATTTCTCTCCTCTCGAGCTGGCAGCTTGAGAGGAGAGCCGGTAATCGGCTTTCCGCGGAGGGAACATGTACACTAATCATCAGGGCACTGATGATCAGTGTTCCCTGATGATCAGTGTGGCCCCAGAAGTGCCACCTGTCAGTGTCCATCAGTGCCAGCAGTCAGTGCTCATCAGTGCCTCGTGCCAGTGCCCATCAGTGCCACATATCAGTGCCTACCAGTGCACATCAATGCCACATATCAGTGCCCATCTGAGCTGCCTTTCAGTGTCGCCTATCAGTGCCAGTCAGTCCCGCCTAACAGTGCCAGTCAGTGATGCCTGTCAATGCCCATCAGTGCCACCTACCAGTGCCTCCTCATCAGTGCCACCTATCAGTGCCCATCACTGCAGCCTCATTAGCACACATCAGTGAAGGAGAAAAATCACTTATTTACAAAATTTTATAACACAAACTAAGAAAAAAACATTTTTTTTTTTAAATTTTCAGTGGTTTTTGGTTTATTTAAGAAAAAATAAAAAACCCAGAGGTGATTAAATACCACCAAAATAAAAGCTCTATCTGTCACAAAAAAATGATAAAAATTTCATATAGGTACAGTGTTGCATGACCGCGCAATTGTCATTCAAAGTGCGACAGCGCTGAAAGCTGGAAATTGGCCTGGGCAGGAAGGGGGTATAAGTGCCCTGTAGGCTAGTGGTTAAAGTCGTGGGGAGATCAGAAACTGATTCTGCAGTAGAAGCCTTTGACAGGCAGTAGGTATATACTGGAGATCGGAGTGCCACATGGCTCTTTTGCAAAGCAGGGAGCAGCAGTTGGGAAAAGCTTTGTCAATACTAAATGGTGGGAAAGAAGTATTAAAACATGGCACTCTATGTCAGTGACTTCCTGTGTCCTGCAATGGATGAGAAAAAAATTAATCTATTGTATTTGAATAGCCACTAAATGCTGCAATACACAGGTGGAAGGGGAGTGGCTGGTGGAAGAGTCTTTAGTGCGTTTTTTTCTTTTTGCAATATATGTGCGCATGATCACGTGCCAAAGAAGAAAAAGCTTATTTCTGAAGGTTAGGGAGGGCCCAGGAGGCAAATCCTAATCATTGATTAGTATAGACTTTCTGGCTGTAGCTGATTGGAAACATTTGGCAAAAATGTTCTGTTTTGTCTGGTGTATTGCCCTCATCGGCCATGTGCATGAGCCCTAGTGTGTGTATAGGAATTCTTGCATTTCCTCTCTAGACCAACTACATGAATTCTTTAATAATGTTTTCTTTTTTTTTTTTTTTGTATTAAACACTGTAGTATTTGCAAATGTTACAAACTAACAAATGATACACCAAGTTAGAACATTTTATTTATTTTAACACCTAGTTAGAATGACTTTGTATTAATATCATTTACATTATATTTCATAGATTTTATTTGAGTATGGATAAAGATGAAAACATACATTGAGTCAAAATCTTTTGTAAACCATATACATTGCTGTTCTGAGTGGAGGGCTATCTGACCGCAAAAATGGTGGTCGACACATTTTCTAGTACAGTTTGGGAAATGAGGGGAGGCTTGTTAACAGTCTTCTTTAAGGCTTTGCAAAGTTGATATTTAAAAACAACCATGATAGAAATGTGCAAGCTGCCACTACCGAATGAAGGTTGTCACCCTGGTCCTTGATCCACTTCATAGTACCCTTTTGTTCAACATTGTACTTGCTTGTTTTGGTTCAGTAAAAAGAAGTAAAGTAAGAGTAATGACGACAACCCAAGAGTCTGCATCCCTACTAATACAGGTCAACAATAGCAACTTTAACATTTTCGAACTTGGAAAGCTTTTGCTAAAGGAAAGAGAGTTGGGAGGGTGGGGGGGCATGGGTGATGCCATAGGAGCCATGAAGGGGGGGTGAGTATGTGCTGCTGGGAGGGAAATTCAAGTGACCCTGCAAGCTTTGCACTGCATGGGTTCACTTTTGAGCTAAATAACTCCAAGCAAACAGCTAAATACACAGATGTAATACAAAAAGGAGATATTTTACCTGCCAAATAATTTGTACTCCTGTTCATCCACTCCTCAGATTTACACAGCTGTGTCACACAGCACAGCCTTGTCTGGCAGGGATGCAGACCCACTATTTCTCTGTTGCAGTTAAGTAACACTTAAATGCCTTGTCTCCCACCCCCTCCCCCCCAACTGTGACTAAACACTGAATGGAGAAGCAGCAGATTGATGAGCTCTGGTTTAGATCTTACCATTTGGAAAATCTGTCTGACAAAACCTGACACAGAATGTGCCAGCTGTCATTTTCTGCATGAGTACAAGCACTTCAGAGTCATTTCTTTTATCTGTGGCAATGGTATGAGTTGGATATTAAAACATGTTTCTCAATAATTCTCTCATTCTCTCTCCACATTCATTTAGTACAGTTCTTATCACACAAATCAAAAGAGAACTTCAGACATGACCCTGATTTCTATTATCAGTATGCCAAGTGACTAGTTTTATTTACCTGCATCAAAACTTTATGGGCAATGATTAAGGCCTCTTTCACATGGGCAGCTGGGAGGGTGGCAAAAACAGGCAGGGGAGTAGCTGCTCTACTGCCCCCGGACACCCACCTTAAGGCTAATCAGCAGTCGGAGGAGCCTATTCACATAACCCAGCAAATTTAACATGTCACCACCTGTCAAAGTCAGCCATTAAAGTCAATGGCGCCTTGTGCAACCATGAGCCAAATGCTTCGCTCACAGTTGCAAAAACATTTACCCTAATATAAATTGCCGTTCAGCAGAAAAAATAGAAAAAAAAAAAGAAAAAACAGGCATTGAGGAAGTGGCAGGATCACCTCTTGAACACCTGACAGTGGCTGTGAAAAATGAACCAGCGAGGACTGGCTAGCATATACCCAATTTAACTGTCTGGCAAAAAATACCCTCCTACATCAGTTTTTACTTTTCACTGGCACCAAGTTATTTGTGCGATGGTGTGACTTCCTGAGAAAGAAAGAAAGAAAGAAAGGAAAGAAAGGAAAGGAAAGGAAAGGAAAGGAAAGGAAAGGAAAGGAAAGAAAGGAAAAAGAAAGGAAAGGAAAGAAAGGAAAGAAAGGAAAGGAAAGGAAAGGAAAGGAAAGGAAAGGAAAGGAAAGAAAGGAAAGAAAGGAAAGGAAAGAAGGAAAGAAAGGAAAGAAAGGAAAGGAAAAAGAAAGAAAGAAAAAGAAGAAAGAAAGAAAACGGAAAGGAAAAAGAAAGAAAGAAAGAAAGAAAGAAAGGAAAGGAAAGGAAAGGAAAGGGAAAAAAAAAGAAAAAAGGAAAGGGAAAGAAAAGGAAAGGAAAGGAAAAAAAGGAAAGGAAAAAGAAAGAAAGAAAAAAGGAAAGGAAAAAGAAAGAAAGAAAAGGAAAGGAAAAAGAAAGAAAGGAAAGGAAAAAGAAAGAAAGGAAAGGAAAAAGAAAGAAAAGGAAAGGAAAAAGAAAGAAAAACCAAACAGCACACAAATTGCCTAAACATCACCCTCTGATCAATTATACACACATATATGCCATTTCTCAATTTGAAATCATGGGAAACTAGTGCACTAAATGTTCAATTATATCCATGTCAGAATATATGCTATAAAAATACTCATTTTAAGGTTCTTCTTTAAAGGGAACCCATATTGCTACTTCCCTTCTTCAAATGCGAATATCTATGCTGCATGTGGCTTCAATCCTTTAAATTACTGACAACTAGCACACAGAAAACAAAGTCAGACTTCCTGATCTGTACTGCTTGTCTTAGATCATAGAATCAAAGTTCTAGAGTCTGCTTTGAGTCTTTTAAGATTCAAAGCCTCCAGATCAGAATGCCAGCTAGATAAGTACATTTTTCAGAAGGATACGGACATCCAGCCTTACCAGTTGTACAAGCTCCTTTCTTGTACTGATATGGCTTATTCTGATTTTTGTGCATGATGTGAATGTATCACAGTGTGCATAAGAAGGTGCAACAAATTAGATAGAGCCTGCCTCATTTCCTGGCTAAAGAACATCCACCATCATCTAGCTCTTTCCTCTCCAACCTGACTGTCCCTGACCCACCCCTTTCATTTATTGGATTTCAGTTCTTTAAATCATGCAGGCTCAGAATCACATGTGGGCATTACCTAGGGCAGCCTGCATGCACATACAGCCTGCTTAAGAACTCCCACCCTTGCAGGCTGACATCCCCCCAATCAATGCCTTCAGATAGTAGATATTCTTTGCAAGAGCCACTGCTTGCATCAGGGCTGACGACTCTTGAGAGGAACACAAGGGGGGATGTGGTGTTTTTGGGAAGCCATGTACAGCACCCTGCCAGTCCTTCCCAGAAGCCAGGCTCTGCCTGCAGGGAAGCACAGACACCAGGTGATGACTTCACTGGGTCTAAAATTAGCAAGGAAAACAGAAAGATGTTATTTAAAAGTTTTCATAGTACACTGATGAGGAGGGTAAGAAGGAATCAGAGGAGGCAAATATAAGCATATAAACTTCAGCCTAAATTATCTAAGGTACTCAATTATTTTCCAATGTCATTGATGTTCTCTAGTTTCCAACTTTATCTATAAAGAAAAATTGCCACATATTTTTATAGCTGTCATTTCAAAGCAATTTACAAACAAGAGAACTTATAAAATATGTCCTGCTGTGACAGCACATCAGAAACAAGTAAACTGCGCTCGGAGGTATAAAATCCAACTGGGTCACTACTATAATAAAAAGCATCCTGCTAAAGGTATTAGTGCAACTAAGGCAAGGTAGACTGTACAGAGCACATGGGTAGTGGAATGTCTCAAGAAGAGATGTTTCTGTACCAGCCAGTCCTACAGTATCCTATCATTTAGGACGCCTTTTCATATAGTTTTATCAAGGCATGAACGTTTGGCACAGACATATAAGTGCTTCAAAAGAGCTGGACACTTACTTTGCCCTGCTTCAGCTAAGTACAATAGTGACTACTGGTATTATGTATTGTATGTTAAGCCTTAACATGAGACTGAGCAAACAGCCTCTCTGCAAGGGTTCCTTTACTTCATTTACCAAGAACATTTAATGGATCGTCAAACTTGGTGGAAACTTTAGTGTCCTGCTTTGTTTCAGATGTTGGAGGAGTGGACTTGTCTTTTGGTTTGCTTTTCTTTGTGCTGGAGACAGAGGTTGAAAATATATCATCTGCGTGAGAAGAAATACATAATAAATAACTTGTGTTGTTATAGAGCAGTAAAAGGTCATTATTTCTTTTTACAGATCGTATTAATAATTTTATACAGCTTTGCAGCTAGGTCAGAAGATCCTTATCTACAATGATGGGTCCTGAGCAGATCAATCAATATTCTGTACATGCAAGTAAGATTCTGCTACACCGATGATTTGAATCCAGAATTGACAACTAGCTACAAACAGTGGACTGGTGCAGCCTTACATTGGATATCCAGCACAAGATAACTCAGGGTAATAATATGATTGAATAGGTGATCCCTGGGGATGTCTTTAGGACAGTGCTTAAATACAGAGTATATGTCAGGCTAAGCAGTTAATAAATGTTCAGCAAGATTCAATTCAATAGATGCAGAAGCTTGCAAAATCCCTGGTGAAACTTGCATCTAGCTTGTTGTAAAGATATAGGCAGCACTCTGAATAAGATCTGCATTCACTGGAGTGAAAGGTGTTTTAACCATTTCAAGTCCGGACATTTTTACCCCCTTCCTGTCCAGGCCAATTTTCCGCTTTCAGCTCTGTCACACTTTGAATGACAATTGCGCGGTCATGCAACACTGAACCCATATGAATGTTTTTAGCATTTTTTGAGACAGATAAAACTTTATTTTCGTGGTATTTATTCACCACTGGGATTTTTATTTTTTTTTTTGCTATAGAAATGAAAAAGTGTTCTTCTTATAAAATTTAGCTAATAAATAATCTTGTATCTTAAATCTTGGCCAAAATGTACTTGATATCTTTTTCATATCTTTTCAGTAAAAAAATATAACCCAAATTAGTTTATAACCAAAAATTATAGTTTTCTATTTTTTTTTACATTTTTATATTTTTTTTTAACATACTGTCACCCTAGCAGTACAGTGTCACCAAAGTGACACTGTACTACATGGGGGGGTGATGATTTTTTTTTTTTTTTTATACATACAGGCTGTAAAAGCAATCATTTCTACTTATCTCTGATTGCATTCTTGCAGACATTGAAAAATGCTGTGAGAGCTGTGATTGGACACAGCTTGTCACATGGTACAAGGGTGTTGTGAATAGCCTTGTACTATGTGACCTCTGTGATCATTCACAGATTTCACACGTACGTAAAGCAATGATGTCAGAAGTGACATCTTGCTTACTACTATTCATGTGATCACTGATTGGCCAATCAGTGATCACATGATCAGGACCTCACATAGAGGTCCCGTACAGCGAGCGGTGTTCCGCTGTGTCCGGAGGAGCTGTGCCGCGTGTTCTCAGGGAGCGGGCACAGGCTGAAAATGCAGGCGCCATTTATAAATGGCAACCCGCTCCTGCACTGCTCCCGTCCGGCAGTTTATATACATGAGCCAGACGTGAAGTGCTTAAGGGCTTCAAGAAAGATGCTCAAAGCTTGCTGAAAACATTGTAAATTGTTTTCTGTACACATCGCACTACAGATCAGCTTTACAAGCTGAAGTCTGTGTGAGCTTATCCCAAGAGGGAATTTGAACAGAGAAGCTGCCATAAAACAATTAACATATAATAGGAAAAAAAAAGGGGCCCTTGGCAGATCATTCGAAGATACAATCAAAACCACAAGAAAAAAAATGAGAAAACGACAAAAACAACACAGAACAAAATAAAGCAGGGAAGGGGAGACCAAAGAGAGACCAAAAAAAATGCAAATGAATCTAATTTTTTAACTTGTGTTTTTCATGCTAGTAATACAAGAGATGAACATTAATCAGCGTTGGATTATCCTCAAGGAAACCTAGGTAGGAGCGTAAGGCCCAGTAGATGCCCAGCTACAACCTACAGTACCCTGGTGGGGATAGTGCAACTGGTCAAAGCTGTACGCTTGCCTGTCCCTTCACAAGGAAGAATGTATTTAGAGGCAGTGAGTGTTGGGCTGCTTCATGGAAGTGCAGACAATGCAAATGGGATGACTTTTTTTGCGACTTTTGAAAGAGATGGGGAGGCCAATGCTTTTTACCTTGCCCAAAACTCCATTCTGCCTAATCCACCTTGGAGGAGAACTACAGTGAACTATTCCCACCTAATGTCTAACTCCTGTCAATAGAATCCAAGCCCGACATTAGCCTTGTGTTTCTTTCTAAGGCAGTCGACATCTCAAGCTGTACATACCCATATCATCATCAAATATGGACTTGGCCTCCACTTTCTTTTTTGATTTCTTCTCCTTAGGTTTGTGTGTTAAATCAGCAAAAATATCGGAATTATCATCAAAGAGATTTGCTTCAGACGCTGCTTTCTTCTCTTTAGGCTTCTTTACTGGCTTAATGGATTCTGCTGCAAATATGTCATCCTTAAAAATATTAAAAAGAAAGAATAGATATAATAAATATTAGGGGAAGCTATAATAAAAATATTTTAGCTGCTAGATTTTAATCCCTGGTCTACCAAGGTATGTTTATAAAAGTCCTAGTATTCAAAGGGTTAAAACAAGCTCACAGCTGGTGCTTGGTTTTTGATTTTTCTAGCTGACTCCTATATTTGAAGTAAAAGTGAAGGTCCCACTAGCCTCTGCAGACTACCCACTTAGTAGTTAGAGTGGGAGAAGATCAGGGAACATCTGTTCTTTGATCTCCTCTGTGACTAACGAATCCAGAAGCAAGGTGGTTTATGTCACTTCTGGATTCAGAGCTGTCATTACCTAGCTACTGTAGCCAGAGAAGCATGATCTGTGCTTGATTAGCTGCAGTGTAGAGCAGGGGAGACATTGAGGATCTATTAAATCCCTATTGTCTCCATAAAGAGTACCTATCACCTTGCCCATGCTATCACACGGGGGGGCTTGTTAGCCCTCATGTGATTGCAATGAAGTGCAATGAGTAAAGCAAATAAAATAATTTATAATAAAATAAAAACATTTGGAAAGTGCTGCAGTTACCCCCACACACACCCAAATGCAAACATGCGCACGTGAATATAAACATAAAGTGCACCAGTCGCTGTGAGGCATCACCTCACGCTGTCCGATCCTCTTCTCCATTTGCCCCTATAGCAAACTGCTATGGGGGCTGAAGTGACTCGATCCTGAGCTGAGCTATTAGTGTCTATAGACACACATAGAATGGCTTAACCCTGCCCCCCCCCCACTTCCTCCCCACAGGATTTGATTGATAGCAGCAGGAGCCAATGGTTGCTGACTCTCCTGTGAGACGAGAGAAAAGGGGAGAAGAGCTGCTGCAGATGGGAACAGCGCTGGATCAAGATTGTGTTCAGGTAAGTGTTTAAGGGGGGGGAGGGCGCTAGAGGGAAAAACTTTTAAAGGGTTTTTTTTTTTTTTACCTTAATGCAGAAAATGCATTAAGTTAAAAAACATTTTGCCTTTAAAAATACTTTAATGGTTAACTCTAAACTGATAACCCAATTTTGGGTACCATAAGTTTTCATGATTTCACAGACATACACAAATTCTAAGGCTTGGCATGCTTGGTATCTATTTACTCGACACGATCGCATCTTCTATATTTTATCAAAAAAGGTATTACATTTTATTTAGTGTATTTTTTCTGAAAATATAATATAATAAACAACTGTGCAAATAACGTGAAATAAAAAAAAATGACCATTTTATTCTACAGAGCCTTTGCGTTCAGAAAATATACATTTGGTAGGGGGTTTTAAGTAACTTCCTAGCAAAAAATACAGATTTTTTAACGTGTGTGAAAAATTCAAGATTGCCCTGGTAGAAAAGTGGTTAAAGCACAGCGCTGGTCAAAATGTAAAATAATAAAAAAAGTCAGCAGCTACAAAAATTGTAGTTGCTGACTTTTAAAAAACAGAAACTTACCTGTCCCTCAGTCCAGTGGTGTCTTCTCTGCAGCCGGTTTCACCGGCTGTCATTTATCACCAGCATCTTAAGTGTGGGCACCCGGCTGTCTTTGTAGGGGGGTGCCCACTGCTCGTGCGCAAGTAGCACTGTGCCTTGTGAATGGTCCCGTAGTCTTCTGTGATCAGTCAAGAGTACCAGAGGACTACAGGGAGTCAAGTACCCGCTCCCTACAGGTGCCAATTCTTAACCCGCAGCGGGGGGGCGACATTATGGTCATAAAACTCAACCTAAAATAGATCAATCAGAGGCTGGTATATCATAATCCTGAACTGAACACATACCTCAAATAGGTCTGCTCTGGCCTTAATTTCTTTGGGTGGAACAGGCTGAACGTCTACTTTTTTTGGAGGTTTCTGTGTTCCAAAGAGATCATCGTCAGGCTCATCATGTAGCAGAGATGTAGGTTTGAATGTCTTCTTGTGTTGTTCCTTCACTGATTTAAAGAGATCATCATCGCTACCATCAGCATCAAAGACAGAAGCTGAAGGTTTATTAACCTCTTCCCTCGGCTGGTTCAAAGCTTCATTCACAGGAAGCTTTTCTTTCTGCCTGGAGGTAACTGGGTCAGGTAATGAACTACTGCCAAAGAAATCTGAACCAAACAAATCATTAACATCAGGGGTGAGTGGATTTACAGGAGCTTTTGGTTTTGTTCTGGACTGTACATCGTTCTCAGAAAATGACAGCTTCATGCTGGGAATAGGCTCCTCTTTATCTAGTTGCCAGCTTGACTCGGCAGGTGCTGCTTCAGATAATGTATCTTGTGTGGGAGATATTGCTGATGAATCGCTAAGGTCTTCAGCTTCACCAGAATCTTGAGACGCTCGTTTTCGGCCCATTCTTGTAGGAGGTCTCCTTTTTCCACCCACCTTGGCACGAGACTGAGGTAGAAACAATCATGAAATAAGTTCAGAATAAAAGGACAAATCATATTAAATAGAAAATGGAAGATAATGCTTAGCAAAATTAAATCTGATTTTCATTCAAAACAGCAGTGATAAAACAAATCTTAATGCCTGAAACTACATTGGCATGTGTTATAAAACTGTATAACATCTTTGCAACTAACTCGTGTATTCAGCTGAATTAAACCTTGTCTTTTTATCAAAGAAAATCTGACCCAAAATGATAAAAAATATCATTTTTTACAATATAGCTGTGTATGAAAGAACAACCAAAAATAAATTCTCTTACTACCGACTGATGATCGGTCCTCCCATCTCCTAGTCATTAGTACAAGACCTGGAGCAGTCCAGTGACAGCTCTGTCTGCATGCTGGCACTCTCAGCACAAACACAGATATGCAGCCCCACAGCAGACAGCTCAGTCCAGTTAGGCCACATATGTGCATACTCTTGTTGACAGGGAGTTAGGTAGTATTATCATCCTTGTGCTTTACCTTCCTGTAAGCATGTTCAAAATGTTAGAAAGACAGCACTGTGAAACTCAATGGAGCTGTGTCTACTGTATACAAGATGGCTATATTGGAAGCTAGGATGCAAATGTAATACCTGCAAACGTATACACATGTAAAAAACATTTCCTGACTTTGATGAATATATAACTGAATTCAATTGTGTTAAAGAAAATCTGTAGAGTGGAATTAGGAAGGCTACCCCTGCTAACCTGTCCTACTGCAGTACACTAGTTTCCTGGCTGTCATATTAGTCTAAAAGCTTTAGAGCTTTCTGTCTTACCAACATGGAACAAGTATGCAGATTAGGCTTCTGACTTGACTGGCTTTTCTTATCTGCATATGCTTGTTTCAGGTCAGGGAGCCAGAGACAGCCAGGGAACAACCTGAATATGTGCCTAGAGTTCAGCTTTAACTTTAGACAGAATCTACTGGTTTCCTGATTTTTAAAATAAACTGGTCATAAAAAACAAACATACAGGGGCTGCCAATACTGGATTTCCCTTTGTATTTCAATGTTTTTTATTAATGTATAACAATTAACACAGGAGAAACAAATCACGCCCACACAGGGGCTATCAATTGCACATAGAGAAACTAGAAATTAGAGAAATCAGTGCTCTAACACCAACAGGGCAAAAGATATGCCCATGCGGGGGCCATCAATGGCACTTAAATAACAAAACATAAATATAACTAATAATAACTCAGACTAAAGCCAGCTATCCACTGCCACGCCAAAGCAAACAGAGAAAAAAAAAGGGGGAAAGGAAGGAGAAGTACAAAAAAAAAAAAAAAAGATAGCCAAACCAAGAGCAGGGATCCAAGAACGCCAAAGTCGAACAACATCACATCCCCAGGCTAGCCGGGGGGAGCGTGGGAAAGGTATATTGCAACCACGGCTCCCATATTTTCAAGAATTTACATTAGGAGTCGTTGCAGATACTCGACAGCTGTTCATTGAGCATCATACGATCCCGCACCCCCTGAAGGGGGACAAACACTGGATTTCCTTTTAAACATGCTAGACACCTGGCCACGATTCCCAATCATATACAGGCTCAGTACCAGAAAGAAGGTAAAGCAGAACTCCACCCAAACGGGGAAGTTCCGCTTTAAGCCTTTGTCCCCCATTCCCCATTAAGGATTGGCACCTTTGGAAAGTGGGTACCCGAATTTGACAGGTGCCCGCTCCCACTTCCGCTGCAATTGCCTAGGCGATCGGAAGTTGTCCTCCCCCGTCCCTCCCCATAGTCTTCTGGGACATGTGACAGGTCCCAGAAGACTACAGGGCCATTTACGAGGTGCAGCACTTCTCGTGCATGCGCAGTGGGTACCCAGCTGTGAAGCTGCAAGCTGTCACAGCCGGGTGCCCACACTGAAGATGCCAGCACCAGGGATAGAAGACAGCCGGTGAAACCAGCAGTTGTGAAGACACCACGGGACTGAGGGAAAGGTAAGTGGCTGTATTTTAAAAGTCTGCATCTACAGTTTTTTTTAGCTGCTGACTTTTGTTTTTTTTTTTTAGGTGGAACTCCGCTTTAAAGCTGTTTATGCCCAACCTTGTTCACTAATAACATGTCCCAGCACTACTGTCATATTTTTTGCCAAATATGTTTATTACCTTACCTGCCTACATCTAATGACCTAGATTTTCCATAAATTGTCAATGCGCACTCCTGCAGCTCAAGTCCGTAGAGCATTGTGGGGGGTTTAAAGCATCATAATTATCCACACAACTTCATCTTCCGCAATGCCCTGCACTGTGGGCTGAGATAAGCATGGTCTAGTGGCTAGGATGGCTGGTGCAAGGCTAGGATACCTAAGGGCCTTGCTAGTGGTGAAAGAACTGCCTGCTTTGACAGGAGGAAAACAACTTCCCTGTCACTGTACACAAACCTGCCCACTGCTGATCTGTCATCATGAACTATTACTATGACTACCGTAAACTATAGACTATGGTAACACAGGTAAGTTGTCTACATATAGCTGATTTGTGGGCAGTGACAGGAGTTAAGAATTCCTGTCATTGAAGATGCCCACTAGCACACACACATGCATTTATTATAGAATCTAGTGACTTACACTATATTGCCAAAAGTATTGGGCCACCACTCCATACATTGGATTCTGGTGTTCCAATCACCTCCATGGCCAAAGATGCATAAAATCAAGCCCCTAGGCATGCAGACTGCTTCTACAAACATTTGTGAAAGAATGGGTCGCTCTCAGGAGCTCAGTGAATTCAAGCGTGGTACCATGATAGGTTTTCCAACTGTGTAATAAGTGCATCTGTGAAATTTCCTTGCTACTAAATATACCACAGTCAACTGTTCGTGGTATTATAACAAAGTGGAAGCAACTGGGAACAACAGCAACTCAGAGCAGCAATGACAGAGCAGGGCCAGTGCAAGTCGCCAACTGTCTGCAGAATCAATAGCCAAAGACCTTCAAACTTCGTGTGGCCTTCAGATTAGCACAACAACAGTGTGTAGAGAGCTTCATGGAATGGGTTTCCGTGGCTGAGCAGCTGCATCCAAGCCTTACATCACCAAGTGTAATACAAAGCATCAGATGCAGTGGTGTAAAGCACGCCGCCACTGGACTCTAGAGAAGTGGAGATGTGTTCTCTGGAGTGATGAATCACGCTTCTCTGTCTGGCAATGGACATGTCTGGGTTTTTCGGTTGCCAGGAGAATAGTACTTGCCTGACTGCATTGTGCCAAGTGTAGAGTTTAGTGGAGGAGGGATTACGGTGTGGGGTTGTTTTTCAGGGGTTGGGCTTGGCCCCTTAGTTCCAGGAAACTCTTAAGGCGTCAGCATACCAAGACATTTTGGAAATTTCATGCTTCCAACTTTTTTTCAACTGTCACTGCTGATTTTACAGAGAACTCGAGCAGCTGTCATCAATAACACCAAAGAACCATGTTTCCGGAGCTGTGGCCAAGCAATCAGGACGAGCAAGTGGAACTAAACCAACTGATTTAATGATTTGCCAAACCTAAGCTCAAGTTAGAAATGTTAAAAACATTTTTATTAATCCTTAAATAAACCAATGTTGTTTTCTGCAGTGTTTTCATTTACAATTGCTGGGTTTGGTGATCATATATTTGCCAGCTGGCAAATGTCTGGAGGAAAAATCACTTGTGCAGGCAAGAACTAACAAGCTAAGGTAGGCGTTCTCTTCCCTGCTCAACCTTCAACTCTCCAAACAAAATAGGTTTATGGTTTCCTGAAATTGTAGAACTCTGAGACCATGCAATGGTAAATTCCATTATGTGTGGGTGACCATATTCATATTTCATTGGCAAAAGGCACAAAAAAGAGCTGTGTTAATACCTTGTTAGCACTATGAAGGGTGTCCACCTGTGCAGGGCTCTCAAAGCTTGCTCCTTCCACACTTTTTCTGCCAACATCCAAACTTTGACTGCTCTTTGCAACAGGTAAACTTAAAATATCTGCATCTGGAATCACATGCCTCACACCAGACAGTTTAGGAACTGCACCAGGTAACAATGCTGATGGGTTGATGTGCAAATTTGCCTGTAAATAAATGGAAAGTGGATTAGCTGATTCCTACTTGCTTTCTTAATGCTTGCCAAAAAAAAACAAAACAAAGTGCGGTAGATTTTGCAGGACCTGTAGCTGAAGCCAAATGGAATTAGAAAAAGAACATTAAGAAAGGCATAAGATACATGCACTACCCAAGGTAAATCCATTCAAGTTGCAAGTATTGCCAGTGGGGAAATACAATTAAAAAAATAGAAATTTAGTTTCCAGAAATGTTTTCATTCTTTCTTAGTGGAAAATGTTGGTGCAGAAGAAATTAGGAGAGAACAGTAAATGTAAAACTCTATAGTTACTTGTAGTTTCCCAATCCGAGTGGAGGGACTTTTAGATTTAACGGGTGCTGGCTTTGTGGGTTTCTGTACAAAATGAAAGTAAATTAAAACAGCTGCATATCTGAAATATATAATTCATCTGTTACAAAATGCTGCTGTGTTCTTATTATTACTAAGTACGAAGTCTGTAAGCACACCTGTCACAAGTACAGCTTCTACTATTGCTGACCTCACTCTGAAAAGGCTAGTTATCTGACTGCTTTAACTTACATACATTTAAAGGGGAAAACAAGTTTGCTGTAATCACAGTCTGAAGAGTATCAGAATTCCTTATCTCTATTAGGTAATTAACTCAAAACCTTGAAGCCAAAGCCTCAGTCTGACAGCCAGAGAGCTCAAAAGGAGAGGTCAGTAATGGTAGAGTACATAACACTTTCATTACAGCTGTATATTAACCCCTTCACGCCTAAGGGTAAAACAAATGTAAATGCCTAAGCACAATTTTGCAACATCGACATGTGTTAGTAAAAACCGTACATATCATCACAACTAATGTGTACATCCAGGTGAATTATACCACATTTTTTTCAGGACAAACTGGGCTTTCATTTGGTGGTAAATGGTAATGGATATCTCCTGATTTGTTTTTATTATCAAAGGAAAACTGGCCCAAAATAGTAAAAAAAAAAAAATGTTTTTTTTATTTAGTTGTGTGTTTCTTATTACTACCATAATCTACCGCCAAAGAACAACCCAAAATAAATTCTCCAGCGCTTAAAGATGGCAGCGATACCATATATGTGTATGTTATCTGTTCTTTGTACCCGTAGTACAGCCCAGAAACAAGCATTTTGTTTTTGTCTTTTTTTTTTTTTTGCACCTAAAACACACTGGCACCAATTTTTTTTTTAGACCCTGACTCAAACAATAACCCTGGCACTGAACTAGATCAAACCTTGATCTAGGTATTTTTTCTTTATTTTTTAATATTTATTTATTGATTTTTTTTTTTTTTTTTTACAAACATTTTTTTTTCTCTCTATGCCAGGAGTTAGAGAGATACAATGTATCTCTCTTCTCCATTCATAGAGAGAGAAAAAAGCAAGGGGGCTGGGCTGCACAGTGACTGATCACTGTGATAGCCAATCAGAGGCTATCACAGCGATCATGTGACCCGGAATCGGGAGTCCCGGGTCCCGATCGTTAGAACGGGACCCGGGGCCCTCAGCGACACCGTGGTCTTTGTGCTGGGAGCGGGCAGTGCATATACAAATATGTGACCCCACGGAAAAAGCCCAGTTCTGTGAGGCCGCATATTTGGGTGACGTCGGCGTCAAGGGGTTAAAGTGAAACAGACTTGACCCAAAACCTGAAAGGTATCAGTGCTAAAAGCAGGTTATAAATCAAGATTAGGCCCCACCACATCATTCAACTGAGAAATGCTAAAGTTGGCAGATAAGTTAGCCATAAATGGATCAAATCTTGGCCGGTTCTGCAAGGACTGGCTGAGATTTGATCCATCTATGGGCAGGTTGGTTGTACTGAAGTCGATCCATCAATCAACTTGGATACAACCAGCCTGTTGGATTTTTTCATGCTATCACTGCCGGTGGCTATAATCGGCAGCAGCGATCTTTGCGTTCTGCCGGAACAGAAGTCTCCTTGCTGTCAGAATACAATAGTGTTGCGGGAGGGATTTCCCCCATCATCACTGACTGTGTTTATAGGGAATCAAGCAATTTTCTTCCCTTCCACCTGTGATGGAAGGAAGGAAAATTGTATAATCTATGGGCTGCTTTAGTTTGACAAGTGAATGCCAGCAGTCATGCCTCAAATTCAATTTGGCCAGAAATCGACATAGTACGATATATACATTACAAAAAATATGACTTTCCCAAACTTTTCCTCAAATACCATCACTCTTCCACCTTGTTGTTTGGATATATTAACTACCAAAAAGAAAAACTGCCCCTTATTTCAATCATCTTTCTATAACATAGCTGAAACTATAAACTAAAAGAAATGATGCATAGGTTTTGGGCTCACCATAGAGTTCCATTCAGTGATGATGCCGCATTTGTTACCAAAACACTAAGTGATTGATTTAATGAAACTGGAGTGCGCAAAATCTGGTGCAGCTCTGCACAGAAATCAATCAACTTCCAGGTTTTTTTTTGTCAAAGCTTAACTGAACAGGCTGAAGTTAGAAGTTGATTGGCTGCCATACACAGCTGCACCAGATTTTGCACTTTTCCACTTTTAATAAATCAGCCCCTATGTCTTGTACATAAGGGCTCCAGTATGTGAAAACTGTGTGTGTGTACACATTATTTTCAACTTGTTCTTTCCTGTCCCAAATTATATGTAATAAATCTGTACAAACCTCTCCACCTTCTGCTTTTACTATTGTTGCCTTCTTTATTACGTTCAAACTGCTGGGTTCTTTGGGCGGATCCAAACTGTCATTTTTGAGAACGGTTTTCTTTTCTTTCTACAAATGTAAAAGTAAGCAGAATTCAACCTATGTTATTTGAATAATTTTGTTCCCTCCTTTTGATCCCCGAACTTTCCACTGATTAATAGGTGATTTAACAGTATTGATAGATATATTCAAAGCTTTGGAAATCCTTTTATGTCCTTTTCCATCTTTATAAAGTTCCATTGCCTTGTTACGCAGGACTTTGACAGTTCTTTTCTGATCCCCATGGCTCAGTATCTAGCCTAGTCAGTGCTTCCAGGTAAGAGCTAACACACTCATTGACTCTTTATACACTGACACCAATTGAAATTTAAAAAGCCACAGATGTGGGACATGAACCTCTAATTGGCATTTTAACCTGTGTGTGTCACCTTGTGTGTCTGTACCAAGGCCAAACATTCCAAGGTATGGAAACTTTTGATCCGGGCCATTTGAGTGATTTCTGTTATCATTATGATTTAAAAAGAAGCCAAACAACAATTTGACAATAATTGGCTTCATATGATCATCATCATTCAATAAAAGAGCATTTTTTGGCATGCTCAGTCATATTTTCAATATCAAAATTTCACAATTTCTGCCAGGGTATGCAAACTTTTGAGCACAACTGTATATAGTTACAATGGCATCTGAAAGTGGGTGGCATATATTAGGCAGCAAGTGAACATGTTATCCCTGAAGTTGATGTGCTGAAAGCAGAAAAAATGGGCAAGCGTAAGGATTTGAGTGACTTTGACAAGGGACAAACTGTAATGGCTAGATGACTGGGTCGGAGCATCTCCAAAACTGCAACACTTGTGAGATGATCCCGGTCTGCAGCAGTCATGACCTACCAAAAGTGGTACAGGGAAGGAGAATCGGCAACAGAGTCATGGGTAGCAAAAGCTTATTGATGCACATGAGGACCAAAGTGTAAAAGTGTAATCTGATCCAATAGAAGAGCTACTTGTAGCTCAAATTGCTGAAAGAAAAATTCTGGTTCTGATAGAAAGGTGTCAGATCGCACAGTGTATTGCAGTGAACATCACAGCTGGACCAGAAAGTAATGGAAGGAGGTGGCTAGGTCTGATTAATTCAACAATGGTTTGAGGAATACGACAGGTACAAGGTGTTGACTTGTTTTTCCAGCACATAGAACAAAAGCTTGATTGGTTTGGGATCTGGTTGAATTTGGAGGCCATGTCTGATCCATGGAGGACCCCTCATAAATTACAGGGCTTAAAGGATCTGCTACTGATATTCTGATGCCAGATACCCAGGGGCAGACTGACTATTCAGGAATTGCCCGAGGACCCAGGGTCAATAGTGGGCCCGGTGAGAGGCTCACTGGGCACAATTCACTAAGCGGTATCTTACCACATCCGAGTATGCGGTAGAATACCGCATAGCATTTTAAAGAAAAAAACGTTTAAATTCACCAAAAAACGCTACTAAAATACATTTTAACAAGTCATGCAGTATTTTAGCAGTGAAAACCATGCATTAATATTTCAGCTGTCAGCGGGGTTCCCCACTGACAGCTGAATGTAAAAGAAAGAATTGCCGGCAATTAAAAAAATAAATTTAAAAAATGGCGTGGGGTCCCCCTTCCATTTATACCAAACCCTTCGGGTCTGGTATGGATTTTGAGGGGAACCCCCATGTCAAAATTAAAAAAAAAAAAAAATGTCATGGGGGTCCCCTCCAAAATCCATACCAGACCCAAAGGGCTTGGTATGGATGGAGGGGGGACCCTACACCGTTTATAAATTCTTTTTTTTTAATTGCTGGCAATTCTTTTTTTTGTAAATGCTGTGCAGTACGCTCCCAGCACAAAGAGAGATACGCATATTATGCATCCCCACAGAAAAAGACCCACTTCTGTGAGGCCGCATAGTCAGCTGGAAAGGGTTAAAATTTCATTATTGAGCATCTGTTTATTAGTTAAAAGGTAAAATCCAAATCTGTACATTTAGAGAACTTCCGTTGATACAAAGCCAAACAAGTTTGTTCTATTTAGAGATAAGTGACACCAAATGATTTATTATAGTAAGGTTTTGCTTTCAACCAATTTCTCTGCTGTCATAAGAGGAAGAAAATACACTAAAGATATCAGTATACTCTGTTTTTCTGCATGCTTCAGTGCCTTCTGCTACACCCACACAAACAGATAGAAATCAACTAAAGAAGACATCTGAAAGCAGTATTAAACCTTTTAATGCTTTCTTTTTTTATGCTTTTTTCCCGTTTGGACAGCAGCAATGGGAACAAAAGATTAACATAAAAGTAGGAAATAAACCAAGGTCTGTCTACCATCACATATTACAGTGATAAGATAAATATACTAATAAATTGAGAATTTTATTAACCACTTGACCTTCAGAAGGTTTTACCCTTTTTATAACCAAGCTATTTTTTCTATTCAGCACCGTGCTACTTTAACTGGCAATTGTGCAGTCATGCAATGCTGTATCCCAAAAAAATGTATTTCACAAAAATAGAACTCTTCCATTTAGTGGCAATTGATTACCACTTGTTTTTTTATTTGTTGTTATATAAACTAAAAAAGACTGAACATTTTGACAAAAATCCAGCTAAAACTCGAATTTTGACCAGCTTAGAAGTAAGTGGCCAATACCATCCGGTGATTTCTTATCTCTAAGGCTACTTTCATTTGTAAAAATGCGTTAAAAACGCATATGCATTTTTGCCATGTTTTTATGGCACTTTTGGTGCATTTTGCACCTGTGAAAAAAAACGACGTCTAAAAGAAAAACAAAAAACAAGCCCTGGATGTGGGGCGAAATGCGTCAGCCAGACGTACTTCAGGTTTCCTATGTTGAACGTGTGACATATCTGATGCTGCCAGTTTGGTTTACTTTCTGGAATCCGTTTTACACTAGGAAGTCTGTTTTGGAGGATTTTGTCAATTGGCGACTTATTTTAAGTTACAATGTGAGTAGACTGAGCACTATTTTATTCAATTAAAAGTCTTTGCAATATTGCAATATTGGTTCTCCTTTGTCTTCCTATATAACACATTGTCATCAGGGGAAATCCCTTTTGAAGTTGGATTTAAGGAAGCTCTTGTATATGGTGGAGGCTATGGAGAGGAAGTTGGAGGATAATGTGCAATTTATTCTTTTCTCTGGTGAGTGCAGAATACATCCGTATTCACAGAAAGGTGTGGATCCGTGGAGTCTTTTCTCTGTATTACACTTATCCTAAAATTTTTTTGGAGCACTATTTGCATGTTTAAAGGGGACTCGGTTTGTTTTTGGTTTCATCGCTTTTTGTATTTGGACACAAATTTATATATTTTTTTTTTTCATTTTGGTGGTTTTGGACATTTATTTTATAACCACAGAGTTTATTGTGATTTGTGTATAATTATTTTTGATTCATTTCAGGTTTTGCACAGTTTTATTGTTTCACGGATTTTTTTTATTTTTATCAATCTTTTTGATTCTTATCAAGGCACAGCAGCATTCACTTTCAAATTTTTCATATAGTTCTTGTGGCGCAGGTTGTTTTTGTTTTAGTTTTTGCTTAAAGGATAAGTTCACCTTTGGGAATATGTTACATGTTCCGATCCGTTTTTAGGGCGGAACATAAACATGTTCTCAAAGCTTCAGCCGCCATCCGCTGACCCCCCTGCCTGTGACAGAAGTATGGGGAAAAGTTCCCTGTACAAGCTGTGAAATTTAAAAACAGTGCGGGCGTGCCGGACTCTGTAAATTAGTGAACTACAGAGTCCTGTGAACGATTGAAGTACCACAGTGCTTCACAGCACAGTTCACTGAATCTTCGTGTGTGTGCGCGCACACACACACACATCTATCTATCTATCTACAAACACACACTATATTGCCAAAAGTATTGGGACACCTGCCTTTACAAGCAAACAAACTTTAATGGCATCCCAGTCTTAGTCTGTAGGCTAAATATTATATAATAAATGCACTTTTTTTTTACCTGCAAAAAAATGTGCATTTGTTATTTTGGGCAAAGGGTGAACCTATCCTTTTACTGAGTTGGCCCACCTTTTGCAGCTATAACAGCTTCAACTCTTCTGGGAAGGCCGTCCACAAGGTTTAGGATTGTGTCTATGGGAATGTTTGACCATTCTTCCAGAAGCACATTTGTGAGGTCAGGCACTGATGTCAGACGAGAAGGCCTGGCTCACAGTCTCCACTCTAATTCATCCCAAAGATGTTCTATCGGGTTGAGGTCAGGACTCTGTGCAGAACAGTCAAGTTTCTCCACCCCAAACTTGCTCATCCATGTCTTTATGGAACTTGCTTTGTGCACTGGTACACAGTCATGTTGGAACAGGAAGAGGCCATCCCCAAACTGTTCCCACAAAGTTAGGAGCATGAAATTGTCCAAAAAGCCTGGGTATGCTGACGCCCTAATAGTTCCCTTCACTGGAACTAAGAGGCCAAGCCCAACCCCTAAAAACCAACCCCACACCATAATCCCCCCTCCAATAAACTTTACACTTGGCATAATGCAGTCAGGCAAGTACCGCTCTCCTGGCAACTGCCAGACACGTCCATCGGATTGCCAGACAGAGAAGCGTGATTAGTCACTCCAGAAAACACATCTCCACTGCTCTAGAGTCCAGTGGCAGCGTGCTTTACACCACTGCATCCAATGCTTTGCATTGCACTTGGTGATGCAAGGCTTGGATGCAGCTGCAATGCTTTACAGGCTCCTGACGCTAAATATTATATAATAAATGCACTTTTTTTTTACCTGCAAAAAAATGTGCATTTGTTATTTTGGGCAAAGGGTGAACCTATCCTTTAAACAAATTTTGCACTGAGCACGTTATTTCTAAGCACATCTGTCCTGAAAGATGAGGAATTGATTCCGATAGGACTGATATTATAGGACTGATATTATATGAACAATTTTATTTGCACTTAATTTTGGTTATTGTAGATTATGCTTGTTATAATTTCAATTGTTCACATAGAATTTCAATTGTTTGATGGTTTAGACACTTTGGTGTAATTTACTAAAAATCGGCGAGTGCAATTGAAAAAGCTAAAGTTAGAAGCCGATTGGTTAGTTGTTCTGGGCTTTATCACTTATGCTGGTTTCACACGGACCAAAAATCGGCCTAAAACAGTCGGTTTGGCAGGAAATGTTTAGACTGTTTTGAACTGTTTCTACAGCTCTCTATCTGACAGAAGCCGGACTCATGGCTTGCTTCTGTCGAACTTGCTTTGGGTGAACACAATAGCACAGTGTGGGGGGGGGGGACATTGTTTGTGTTAGTACAAAAAAGCTGTCTTTTTTCCGTAGTCTTCTGGGACCTGTCAGGTGTCCCAGAAGACTATGGGGAGGAAGGACAACTTCCGCTTCTTATCGCCTAGGTGATCGCCGAGGAGGTGGGAGAAGGTAGCTGTCAAATTCGGGTACCCACTCCCCAAAGGTCCGCAGTCTCTGGTCATCTCCTGTACTGTGTCCGCAGTCGCTGGTCATCTCCTGTACTGTGTCCGCAGTCGCTGGTCATCTCCTGTACTGTGTCCGCAGTCTCTGGTCATCTCCTGTACTGTGTCCGCAGTCTCTGGTCATCTCCTGTACTGTGTCAGCAGTCTCTGGTCATCTCCTGTACTGTGTCCGCAGTCTCTGGTCATCTCCTGTACTGTGTCCGCAGTCTCTGGTCATCTCCTGTACTGTGTCCGCAGTCTCTGGTCATCTCCTGTACTGTGTCCGCAGTCTCTGGTCATCTCCTGTACTGTGTCCGCAGTCTCTGGTCATCTCCTGTACTGTGTCCGCAGTCTCTGGTCATCTCCTGTACTGTGTCCGCAGTCTCTGGTCATCTCCTGTACTGTGTCCGCAGTCTCTGGTCATCTCCTGTACTGTGTCCGCAGTCTCTGGTCATCTCCTGTACTGTGTCCGCAGTCTCTGGTCATCTCCTGTACTGTGTCCGCAGTCTCTGGTCATCTCCTGTACTATGTCCACAGTCTCTGGTCATTTCCTGTACTAGGTCTGCAGTCTCTGGTCATTTCCTGTAGTACATCCGCAGACTCTAGTCATTTCTTGTACTATGTCTGCAGTCTCTGGTCATCTCCTGTAGTACATCCGCAGACTCTAGTCATTTCCTGTACTGTGTCTGCAGTCCATTGGTTCAGAATATTTTTATTCTTGTTTTCCTCCTCTAAAACCTAGGTGCGTCTTATAGAGCGAAAAATACGTTTTTTGTTCATTCATACTAGTTATACTACACAATGTTAATTCAATTACCGAAGGCTTCACAGCACTAAAAAGATCATCTTCATCCTCGTCTCCAAACAATCCTAATCCATCCAGTTGTTTAGCAGCACTTAGTTTCTCAGTCTGTAATATACAAACCATAAATAAGTAACAGTAATTGATAACCCAAAAGGGTAATCACAAATTAGGATTTACAATGATCTGGTCCCAACACAATTGTTTACATGTATTATTTTTTAGAAAAATTATAGTGAACCTGTCTGGTCCTAAAGAAAACACTGGCTAAGCTGCAGTTCATGCAAGCACCTGTGATAATGTTCAAAGCAATCCCTTTGTCTCTATTGAACCCTTCTTTTTAGGGGAGGTTGTATACCAAACCTTGGCATCTGTCTAAGTCAGCACAAAGCCTGCCTCCCACCATTTACATACCAAAAGCCTTGAATGCTGAGGTTCTGGCATCGGACAGCTGAATGTTGGAGATGGGCTCAGTGCCAAGTTGGACAGGAGCAGAGTAAGAGCAGACAGCCTAGGCCTGGAATCCAAGAAACCCACAGCGAATGCCTTGGTATTATATCAGGTATTTTTGGCACCACAAAAGGCTTGTACTACAGCAGTAATGTTAGCGTAACCCGTTTCTAAGACGTAAGAGGTTCACTTTAAGCACACCAATATAATGGGCTACTTACAACAGCGCAGTCTGCCCACCCTGTATAAAATGTTAAAGCAAATGAAATGGGGCCAGTTCTCATGGAAAGTGACTCCGTACAGTGACTTAAGCCTGGTACACACAATGAGAATACTGGATGAAAAATACCACTTTCGGAGCAATCATGTGATAATCTGATCATTAGTACACAGTTTTCAAGAGCCATTCACAACAGTTCATGCAAAATTATCCGAAGGGACAAGCACAAAACTTTTTCTTGTACAATAACAGAACAAACGATTTTCATTATTTGGCACAGTATTTGTCCATCAAAAATTGAGTGACCAAGACTGTGAATGCACAGAAACGAAAGAATACATGACATCACTTTTGAAGTTGCATTTTGTCTTACGAGAATTTTCGTAACTTCATAACCTCTTCATTTTCGATATGAGACTAGCATGCAGAAACAAAAAAATGAACGATTATTCGCTCAATATTTTCATTGTGTGTACCAGGCTTTAGAGAGAAGCAGGGACAACAGGATGCCACCTCAGTGGTTAATGGTTTTTACTCATTAAAACCCCCAGCCTTTCTCAAGATGAACTTGCTTACTGCTTGGACTGTATTTCCACAGTCATAAAAATGCTTGCTCCCCCTCCTAACACCTATGCTACTAACCTGTGTAAAAATTATGTATATACTAATTTTCAGCCCGTTGTGGTCTGGTCATGTGATCTGGCTCCCCTGTTTCAGCAGCAGCTGCAGGGGAGGGGAGAGAACACTGACAGTGGATGGGCCATAGGAGCCCATGGGTGACGTCACTGCTCCAGGCTTTACCAGCTGTGGTCAAGCATTCTCTCCTCTCCCCTGTAGCTGCCGCTGGCTGACACGTAGGAGGGGAGTGGGTTAAGAATAGTCAAGTATATACATCCTTCTTACAAAGGTTAGATGACGTAACTGTTAGGATTGGGGAGGGAATATTTTTAAAACTAGTTAGGATTAGCAGGGAATTCTACTTTAAGAGGCAATAAGGTATAATCAGTCACTAGAAGCTCCAATTAATGTTATGCCCAACCAAACAAGATATTTTTCATGGAACACGTCAGCTTCTTATATGTTTTAAATATGCCAACAATAAGGTTTCCCTGTTATAATTCCACCAGGGAGAATTGGATGTTCTTGGCCACCTTAGCGGTTTCTTGCTCCTCTCTTTACATTTTCCATTTTATAAAAAAAAATAAAATAAACAAAATGCTAATAATACAAGGTGGAGAGAGGAAAACCCCTCATAATGGCTACAGCAAGAGAACAGACCCAGATCCTAAAGCACAATTTGGGACTTCTTAGTGTGCTCCAATTTTAAGTTACATTGATATATTTTAAAATGTACCGTATTTTCCGGCGTATAAGACGACATTTTAACCCCTGGAAATCGTCTACAAAGTCGGGGGTCGTCTTATACGCCGGGTGCTGTGCTGAAACCTTACCGTACTTCTGGGTTGACGCTACTGCGCATGTCTTCGGCAGCAGTAGACGATCGCGGATCACCGTAGCTCGCAGAACTGCATGAGACGTCGGATGCAGCAGTGCTCGATTGAGCTTGACTGAAACTGTGATATGCAGAGAAGGGATACACAGTGATTCTGCGTATGTCACAGTTTCAGTCACGATCAATCGAGCACTGAACGGCTGCATCCGACGTCTCATGCAGTTCTGCGAGGAATGGTGATCAGTGATCATCTACTGCTGCCCTAGACATGTGCAGAAGTGTCAGCTCGGAAGTACCGGTATGGTACTGCTGCATCCGACCTTGTCCCCTTAACTGCTATGAGATACGGTAATTATTAATATTATAATGTCTGTGGCAGTTCTGTGCAATTTATGGTATCTTGGAGACAGGCAGGGCTGGGCAGGCACGGAGAGCTGACCCACCCAATCCAAGCAGGCTTTGTATGCAGTGTGCACAGAAAATACTGGTACATTGCTTGCCGTGATTGGTTGGAAGAGGGGGGTAGTCTTATACGGCGAGTATAGCCCAAACCCTATATTTTAACAGGAAAAGTAGGGGGGTTGTCTTATACGCCCAGTCGTCTTATACGCCGGAAAATACGGTATATAAGACCTAAAGTGGAGTTCCTGTCAAACTGTAAAATAAAAAAAAAAAAAAAAGGCAGCAGATACAGAAACTGAAGACGACAGGGAGGGGAGGATAACTTCCGCTTCCAATTGCCTAAGCCAGTGGTCTGCAAACTGTAGCTCAAGGGCCAGATCATGCCCTTTGCTAGCTTTTATCCCAAACTTAGGGCACCATTTTATCCACGGATACCAACAATGGGGCATAATTCGCCCCACTGACAACCAATGGTGGGGCAAAATTACTCTAAATGGCACCAACAATGGGGCACAATTTCTCCCAATGACACCAACAATGGGGCCCACTGACATCAATGATAGGGAATAATTCCCCCCACTGCTATCAATGACTGGGCATAATTCCCCCTAGTGTCACCAATGATGGGGCACTAATCCTCCATATGACACCAATAATGGGGCACTGTTCCTCCCACTGACACCAAAAACGGGGTCCAATCAGCTCACTGATGAGGTACAATTCCTCCAACTGACACCAACGATGGGGCACAGTTTTTTCCTCACTGACATCTGGACCTTTTCTACTCACAATGGCCACAGTCCAGCCCCCCTAAAGTTTGAAGGACAGTAAACTGGCCCTTTGTTTGGAAAGTTTGGAGACCCCTGTGACCAAGGCGATAGCAGCAGAAATGGGAACGGGTACCTGTCAATTTCGAGTACCCGCCTTTCCCCCCAACTCCCCAAAGGTACCAATCCTTAAGGTGTTACTAAACTCAGGACCCTGCACTCAATATTTGGTCTCCCACAGCACACAGAACATGGAAGTGCAATTATTTTAGTAAACATAAACTGCTAAATACCTTTTCTCATCAGCAGTATATAGCAGTCTTGTGACTTCTATCAGTGTTCGACCGAGCACTGGTTAAAGCTTGTAGGAGGAGTTTTCATTCTCCTCTGTCTGTCCTATGATTCTATCGGCATATGTATGTATATAGCAGTCTTGACCCCTGATCCTCTGTCTGGCCAGTGTCCGGCAGAGCACGTTAAAGCTGGTAGGAAGACTTTTCATTTTGCTCGAGTGGGATGCAGAACCCCAGTCTGGACAGTGCTAATTGGCCCTGTGCTAATCACATGCACTCTCCCAAGAAAAACCTCTCTAGCAATACACACCAAACTGACAGGTGCAGATTGTCTCCACACTATATGTCTGATCAGAAGACAAGAGGGGCATACTGGAAGAAGGGGAGGATCAGAGAAGTCAGGATCAAACAGCCTTTTTACACAATGCAGATGATTAACCCCTAGGTTCCACAGTGAGTATAACAAGCTTGTTACTGTTGTGGGTTTAGTAACACTTTAACAGGAAATGGGGGACTTCCCCTTTTGGGTGGAGCTCCGATTTAAGAACACAGAAAGAAGAAAAGTAAACTTTAGATCCAATTGAAACAGAAATAATAGGATCAGAACTTACAGATTTCTTACTAGTACTGGCAAAGAGGTCTACATCCGGATCATTATCTTTTTGTAGCTCATGACTGAAGAGAAGTTCCTCATCTTGGAACACACGTGTACTCTTTGCCTGTGTGGTTTTGTCAGTGGAGACCTAGCAAATAAAAAGAGGTGTTACTCAAAGTTATCTGTGTTTGCTATAAGTGTGTTCCCTCTTGTAGCAATTGCCACTCTCATGAGAGGATCATGCCACCATTAAACATAAAACTATAGCAGTGCTACATAAAAGGAACCTAGATTTTGCACAAATCGAAATGGACAGTTATCAAATCATTTGTATCTGGTGCATATTTTTAAGCACCAATAACCTGATGCAGATTTGTACTTAAAGGTTTGCTTTTTAAGAATTTGGTCAAAACTTTGTTGAGCTGCACGTAAGTTTCAGCACAATAGTTGTATTGTCATTAGTACTGACAGAATTTTGTTATAGCATAATGATACAATTAAACATGATACAATTATGGCATTTGGGACTGTAGTTTTAGGCCTAGATCTGTTCTGACCAGGAAATACTTGTGACCTATTTCTTTATTGTTATCGAGAAAAACTGAAGTGAAAGTAATGGAATGCTAAAAGCTGGGCTGTAAAGATTAGCTGTTGAATGCCAGGCTTCTTAAAGTAAATGTATATCTACACACAACTAGCATAGGTACATGAATCTATAGTTCTCTGGACAGATCTCTGGAGAGAGAAAAAAAAAAAAAAAGGAGGGGAAGCATTAAGAGTTAATCAGACACTGCTGCATGCACATGTGCTGATAGGTGACATGCAGACAGGAGGAGAGAGCAGAATAGATGACTCATCAGTGTTGCTACAGATGAGGAGGTGATACTTCTGTATTCTCCAAGGTACGTCCAGTGATAGTGCTGTGCAGATGTGCAACAGCCAAGGAAGTATCAGAATGGTGTTAAATCCCCTATATACACTTCAGGGTTTGTATTTTAACACGGCAGATGACCTAAAGCAGATCTGAAGGTAAAGTGTGCCTCTTTTTATACTATGCTTTTTTGTATATACTTATATTAACCAATTAAAGACCAACCGCCCATAATGTACTGCGGACGGGCAGCAGCTACAGGCAGAGCAACGTACCCATACATTGCCGTGGCTGCACTAACACATGGGCAGGGAAGGTTCTGCGCACCTGAGTGGGTGTGCAGTGCTGCTCTCCGCCCCCCATCCCACGACCGATATGTCCACCAGACAAAGCAGAATGTGGATCCCAGTAATAAGGACCCAGTGGTCATGAGATTGCTATGCGATCACATGATCACAATGCTAGCAAAGCAGTTATGAATCAATTTGATTCATAACAGCTCTGCTACTCTTCCTAGTGAGCTGTGATTGGCACACAGCTCTCACATGGTACATGGGCCAATCACAAAACCCTGTACCATGTGATCAGCTGTAGCCAACCACAGATCACCATATTGAACTGTCAAAAACTTAACCCATTCATTACAGTTCAAAGCAAGCATTGCATAGTAGGAACAATAATCTTTTTTGCTCCTGCAAATCAAAAGTAAAAAAAAAAAAATCCCTGCTCACCCCCCTATAGTAGTACAATGTTACTATGGTAACATTGAACTACTCTGATGATAGTTTGTTTATCTTTTTAAATAATAATTTTACTTTTTTTAAAAAAAAATACTGAATTTTATTGTGGGCCAAATAGTTTATACGCACAACAATACATCGCAGCCCATCTAAATTCAGCTCTTGCCAGACAATTTGCAAGGAAACCTATCACTGTTTCCAAATTTAAAACTTTTTGGGTCTAACCCTCAACATGGGCATTACAAACAAGAATGAATTGCAGTCATATTGGTCCACAGACCCAAGTCATCATATGCCCATGTTCTCTGCTGTTACATATATGACCAATAAAGACCTGCAACGTACTGGTACATCGCAGGACTTTGAGTGGTTATACTGGAAAGATGCCTGCAGCTACAGGCATCATCCTGGTATCGTTGTTTTAAGCTGGCGGTCAGCTTTTAGGTAAAGGCAATTCTAGTGGCTAATTAACTGCTGGATTGCTTTTACAAGCAGCAGGAAGGGATGACGCCCCCCTCCTGCTGCCTTCCATGGCTTTCTTAGGCTCTCCTGTCCCACTGGTTCCGCTAGCTGACCATAGAGCTGATCAGACTGGTACCAATCATCTCTATGGTCTAAGAAACCAGAAGCAACAAGCATTTTATCATTTCGGTTTCGATGGTTATAAACAGCGCCATTTTAATATTGGGAAAGCATCTGATCACATCAATCTTAGTGTAATTAGATGCTTTAAAGGCAGAGGAGAGATCTAGAGTCTAACAGACCCTGGATTTCCCAGAAAAGAGTACCTGTACTGCATATTGCTATCACAGGGGATATTTACACATTCCGTGACAACAATATCGGTATTTAAACAGAGATTGCACCATGCATGCAATGAGGTATTATCGTGAAAGTCAGATACAGGGCAGTAATTCTAGCACTAGACCTCCTGTGTAGACCTAAAGTGGTAACCTGTATTTAAATTTACGTAGTTTGTTGCTGTTTCATGGCAAGCATATCATGATTGGTATCCATTTACTTGGTGTGATATCGTCTCTGATATGTTTTCAAACAATTGGACAATATATTGTGTTAGTATAGTGTATTTTTTTCCCAAAATAATTTGCATTTGAAAAATCGCTGCACAAATTCTGTGTGACATAAAAAATATCAACACCCACAGTTTTATTCTCTAGGGCCTCTGCTTTAAAAAAAGAATATATAATGTTTGGGGGTTCAAAGTATTTTTCTCGAAAAAAAAAATGTTTTTTCATGCAAACAAAAAGCATTAGAAAAAGCTTGGTCTTCAAGTGGTTAGAAGACTGGGTGATGTGTGGCATAAGCTTATAATGTTGGCCCTGAAATGCCAGGATAGTAGAAGCACCCCCCCCAATTGATCCCTTTTTGGAAAGTAAACATTCCTATTTGCTAAGGGGCATGGTAAGTGAAAACTGTGTAAAAGTAAAGAAATTAATAAAAATGGTAATTTTCAAAACAATAGTGGCAAAAATATAAAATCTTCCATGGACTCAACATGCTTCTCAGCAAATTCCTTGCGATGTCTCTTTTCCAAAAAGGGTAATTTGGGGTTTTTTTGTACTGCCCTAGCATTTTAGTACCTCAAGAAATGTGATAGGCAGTCAGAAAGTAAACGCTGTGGAAATTCCAATATATATACCAAAGCTTGTAGATGCTATAACTTTCACACAAACCTATTAATATACACTTATTGGTATTTTTTTTTTTTTCTACCAAAGACATGTAGCTAAATACATTTTGGCCTAAATTTATGACTAAATTTGAGTTTATTGGATAAGTTGAAAATATCAGGGTTTTTTTTTTTAATTTTAAGTTTTTTTCGTTTATATCACAAAAAATTAAAAATCCAGTAGTGATCAATTACCACCAAAAGAAAGCTCTATTTGTGTGAAAAAAAAGGACATGAATTTTGTTTAGGCACAGCATGGTATGACCACGCAATTACCAGTTAAAATAAAGCAGTGCCCAATAGCAAAAAATGGCCTGGTCAGGAAGGGGGAAAACCTCCCGGGGTTGAAGTGGTTAAGTGTGAAATTAAGTTACCGTTTCAGAATCCTTCGAAGAAACACTGGTTGAAAGCTGATCTTCCAGATCCTCATCATCCTCCTCTCCAAAAAGACTCAGCACATTGGTGCTCTTAGTCTTTGTATGTTTAAGAGTTGGTGGTGTATCTGCAAACAAATCATCTGACTCTTTCACAGAAACTGATTTTACCTGGGTACAGAAATCAAAAAGAACCTTTAAACATAACAGCACTTAAAAGTTGACATAATTTAGCAAAGATAAAATATGAAAATTTTTAAACTCCATTTCTTTTAAGAAAATAGATATAACTGCCAATTAAAAAAAAAAAAAAAAAGCTTTTTAAACTTTATGTAGATATATACTTTAAAATATTTTACTCTGTTTTAGGAAAACTCAAAATAATTTTACCGTATCGTTCTTTTGCACTGCAGGGGGCATTGTATCTTCAAAAGCTAGAACGGGAGCCTTAGACTCGGGTTTTTTATCTATGTCATCAAAGAAAGATACCTTCTCTGCATCTATTTTTACAGGAATCATGGTCTTCGATTGTTCCTTAAATAAATGACAAATAGACAATATAAGAAAAAGATCACAACACACAAATTATGTGTAGCAATTGAAGTTTGTTGAATGAGTTTGTATATCCTCTTTGTAGTGGAGGGTTTATCTAAGTCCAAAAAATTATCAGTAAGAGAAACTGGTTATAAAGCAACCACATGAACAAAATACAGCCAGTAAGACTGTAAATTCCATTGGGGGCATGGACTAATGTCAATGGTTCAAATGCAATAAAGAATATGTTGATGCTATGTAAACAAACAGAACAATAACTAAAATATAATGATTGCTAACAGATACACTAAGAGTGTATATCATATTCCTGATATGTGTCTGCTGTACCATGTACTTGTATGAAAGATTATCCTGTTCTCTTTGTATTGCTTCCTTTATGTGAAATCCCTGGTGTTCCAAGCCAGTCCCTCTGCTTTCCTGTTAAAAAATGGCCACACTAAGCAAGAGAACACACAGTGGCCAGTTCTCTAGTTATGCTGGGAATGTACAGTATTGGCCTCCAATTATCACAATTCTCTCTGCTGATATGCCCCCCCTGCACAGCCTTTCACTGGGAAGATCAGTATATGGCTGTTTCTCCTACCCTAGCTCTTAAGCAGCCGAAAAACAAAAACAATGTGATTACTTATAAAAAAAAAGTGTTTTTTTTTAAATATCTATACACAAATATTTTGCCTTTCATTTATATTTTAAACTGAATGGGTTGTTTTACAAGGTGAGGGTTTACATATACATTAAGTGAAGTAGTAATGGTAGAAAAGAAGTAAAATCTAAGACTTCCAGAAGGCAGAGACTGGACTTTTTATTGTCCAAAAATTTGAAAGAACTCTGCAGGGAAAGACATTTTCCTATCAGTGTGAAATGACGCTTGCTGTCAATATGTGATTGAAGGATCAATGGCCTTGAAGCATTGAAGACCAAAAAAATAAAAAATCCATGGGGACCATGTTAAAACAAATATAGGTTAATATACTTTGTTTTGCTAATTTGCTTCTAGATCATTCTATGCACTCTTTGATTGGCCCATGAATTCATGAATGTTATAAGCGAAGTCATGTAAGGGCTTTTACATTAACAAGGGATTGGATCTCTCAGTAGGAGTCAGTAACAGGTAATGTCATCCTGCATTAGTACATCCTTTCAGTTGTTCTCACAGCACTTCCCAATTCAACCATGTCATTGCCTGTTGGGAAAAAGAAAATACAGTTCCCTCTTTCCCCGCTGTCTGTCACTTACCAAAGTTTGGCCTGTGGATTTACTGGAGCTCCCTGCTGTTGAAAATAAAGGCTCTTGACTGTTTTCATCGTCCTCAAACAAGAGAGAAACTCGATGATGCTTCTTCTGGCTAGAAAGTGTATATTTTGTTATTTTGCACTGCGCAGCTTTACTGCCAATCAGCAAGTTTTTTTTGTAAGTGCAAAAACAGCAAGATGGTTTTGTAGAAAATAATCGCATGGTAGTCAGAATGAACTGTATTTGCCTCCTATCCTGTCTCAGGATACTCTAAGCTGGCTGAACACAGTAAAATCTGATCATACTACACAGTTGTCGGTAAAACAGAGTAGAGGGTGCAAAAACCTGACTGACTAGCTAGAGTCTAGATTAGACAATTTTTTTTTTTTTTCAAATTTAAGGAAATTGTATACAGTTTGTAATATGTACATCGCCAAACAATTTGGATTATTCATTACAATCTTTCTGTCCCCAATCCATCTGCTGATAGTACAGAACTCTAGGATTCACTCTAAACATGCTCTGTTTAGTGTGTATGGTTATAGAGTTTTATTTTTTTTTCTCTGGGAGGGAGCATGTGATCAGCATAGGGCCAATCAGCACTGCCCAGACAGAGGATCAGGGGTCAAGACTGCTATATACATACATATGCCGATAGAATCATAGGACAGCCAGAGGAGAATGAAAACTCCTCCTACAAGCTTTAACCAGTGCTCGATCGAACACTGATAGAAGTCACAAGACTGCTCTAACTGCTGATGAGAAAAAGTATTTACCAGTTTATATTTACTAAAATAATTGCATTTCCATGTTTTGTGTACTGTGGGAGACCAGATAAAGTGTTACTAAACCCAGGACCCTGCATTCACTGTAAGTGGTAGGTAAAAGGAAAAAAGCACTGTAGTTCATAGTGACAGCTGCAGCATGGTTTGTTTTTAACCACTTGCGCTCCAGAGGATTTACACCCCTTCCTCACCAGGCCATTATTTGCAATACAGCGCTGCGTTACTTTAACTGACAAATATGTGGTCCTGTAATGCTGCACCCAAATGAAATTTATGGGTTTTTTTTTCCCACAAATACAGCTTTCTTTCGGTGGTATTTGATCCCCTGTGCGGTTTTTATTTTTTGCGCTATAAATAAAAAGAGACCGACAATTTTGAAAAAAAAAAAAAAAAAAAACAATATTTTTGACTTTTTGCAATAAAATATATGCATTAAAAATTTTCTAAAAATCACGTCTTTGCTAAAAACAAAATCCCAATACATGTAAACTGGTTTACATGAAAGTTATAGCGTCTACAAATGGCGGCATATATACACTGGAGTTTTAATTTTTTTTTATACTAGTAATGGCGGCGATCAGCGACTTTTAGCAGGACTGCGGCGGGTATTCTGACACTGGGGGGAACTAACTGCCACTGACATTCCAATGACACTAATACAGTGATCAGTGCTAATAAAAAGTACTGACACTAGGCAAGAAGGGGTTAACATCTGGGGCGATCAAAGGATTAACCGTGTGCTGTGCTGGGTTTTACAACATGTGCTGTGTGTTTTGCTTGGGAGACGTGCTGCTGTGTATTTCTCTGTTGTGCAGAGAAATAGACAGCAGCATGTTCTTGCTGGCAGGAGAGAGACCTGTGTTGTTTACACACAGGTCTCTCCCGTCAGTGTTACTTGGCAATTGTCGCGTGCTGGCGGAGAATCTCTGTCCGGTACCCAGTGACTGACATCTGTAGCTGCCAATGATGGCGTGGGTAGGGCGGCGCACGTGCCCACTACTGGGAAACGCCAATCATGTATATATGCACATGACTTTTTGCAGCCCTGCCACTTTGTAGCAGTATTTATGCTATAGGGAGGAGGGCAACTGGCTAAAGAAACCTAATGCAATCAACATGATTGGGTGTCATCACTGGCAACCATGCTGATTAGCTCCAGTTTGTTAAGTGGGCTCAGCGAAGTCAGTGACACCATGGTCTCAGAGGCAGGAGTGCACAGAAGTGTGTGCTCTAATTCTAAAAAAAAAGAATATAGATTAATATTCTCATACCATGGGGCACCGTGACTGAGAACGTTAATGTATAGATTGCTGTCGAGAAGCTGAAGAAGAATTGATGTTACCAGAACACATTATATATTCTCAATCACAACATTAATAGTTAAACATTACCTGTCTTTTGTAATAGCAAATAGATCATCTTCCTCTTTGTCTTCAAACAAGCTGGATTTTTTCTCATTTTTTTCCTCCTTTTTTGATTTTGGTGGAACTAATAAGTTCGTCTTCTCAACTGGTTTAGTGTCATTAGGGACTTTTATTGGCTCCTGTACAGTGGATAAGCAGACAAATGAAAAGTTTACAGTCTATCCTTTAACATGTACTTTATGTTTTTTTTCCTGTTATTTCCTACTCCTGGGTACATAACATTCACATTTGTTATTGTGTGCCATTGGCTTTATGACTATTGGCTGTACACTCAACGACAAACTGTTACAGCAAGCCTTAATGTTCTATATCTTACTGTACTACAGACGTATATTTCTGAAATGGTTATTTACGCAGATACCCAAAACCCCTTTTTGACAAAACATAGACAAGACACACAAATTATTATATTTACTCCTGATAGAAATCAATGTTAATATGTTGTTAATCTGCTCTGAAAAACATATTTCTGCAATCTTGAAAAGGCTTCCAAAGTTTAGCAAAGAAGTGATACAGTATATGTCTCTTTAATCACAGCAATTACCACTGACAGAGGTCAGCTCAATACCTCTTTGTAAATAAATACAAGATGGAATAGCTCCAATGATGGAAATTACCAAAGCAGAAGTTTACAAACCCTTGTTTTCAAGATGCATGACTATTTAATAAGAATCTTTCTTCAAGATGTGGAAGTGAGTGTGATCATTTTAAAGTAGATACACATATTTTATATGCTAAATTTAATGTTACCTTTAAATTTTAAAGGTTTTTTTTTTTTTTTTTAATTTTTTTTCAGTTTCAATAGGGAATAGTTACAACTCATGTGAGGTTTTTGTCCTGCCATCCCTGTTTAATTGAGTAGATTTCCCTTTAACCTCCCTAGCGGTCTGATTATGTCCATATTTCTGTGCTCAAATCAGTACTTTTTTTGCATGGAAATATGTATGTTTTTTATTGTAGGCCTGTAATTTTTAGGAATAACTCACTGAAATCTGCCCGAACAAGAGTCTAGTAAACATCCTGGGTATGATAAAATTTGAAACACAAAATCATAAATAATTTAATAAATAATCATAAAAAATAATAATATAATAATAAATTTAATTCAATAATATAATCAAACCAAAAACACTGAAATTTGAAATATAGCGACAAGTTCGCACATCACTGAGCAAAGTCGCAAAATCGTTTTCAGTGTCTGATGACGAATTTCCCCACAAATCATTATCACTCAATTTTGCAAGTGGTTCTAATTGACTATCGCTGTTCTCTAGCTGGTCTAAAACCGCTTTTGACCTAAAAGGACACTTTTTGGACACCATGGACTTTTCTCAGTTTCCAGGCAGAAAGAACAGTAAAAATACAGGCAGGACACAGGACAAAGCACTAGGGACAAAATGTATGTGAAATGGTTTGATACAGTAATGTTTTACTATGTAATTTTAGTGTATTTAGTGAATGTCACTTTTTGTCATTTTCAAATTTCCTGCCGTTCCATCCCCCGTACGTCCCGATACTCGCAGGGGACGGAACCCAGATTACAGATGCTGGCATCCACCGGATTACATTGCCGGGGAGACTGCAGGAAGGACATCGCGGGAGCGCAGGACAAGGTAAGTGAAGAACAGGAGCAGCGCCGCATGGTAAGCCCGAGTGTAGCTCGGGGTTACCGCTTGTGGTACTGAAACTTTACCCCGAGCTACACTCGGGAATACCTCCAGGGAGGCTAATTCCTATCACAAAGAAAAAACAGAAAGTGAGAGGAAACCCCTTCTTTCACATTTGTTACAAGTGTCCCCATTAAAAAAAGCTCCCTCATCTCCAACGAGTCCGTTTTTTAATTTTTTTATCACTTTATGTCTCAGTAACAAATGCTCCTCTGGACAAACATAGGTGAATTTCACCAGCAGGGATACAGACACCAATGAAAACCTTACCACTACTAGAAAAGACTTAAAAAGAGAAACCTCTATTATTAAGGCCATTGGGCAAACCATGTAAAAGTGTTCCTGGGGATGAGACCATGTGCTGCAACTGCCAGCTGACTCAAGTTTTGCCTGATTCTAGCATTATTCTAGCATATGAGGAGAGAGCTTAGAGGGATGGAGCAATGCACTTTTCGTTAACAAATTTATAATCCTGATATAAAGAATAACATCCTGATTTCCATTAGTTATGTAATATTCTTTATATATGTAAAGTGCTGTGTAAATTGCTGATGCTATATAAATTTAAAAAAAACATATAATACTATTAATACACTACTACTAGATGTATTATACAGTGGGTGTAGAAAAGTTAGTAGATACATATTCCAGGCTGTAATTAAAGCAAAAAAGGTGGTTCAACAAAATACTGACACAAGGGATGATCCTTTTTCCAACTCAGTGATTGTTATATATATATATATATATATATATATACATATATATATACACACACAAAAACATTTTTTTAGTGGAGGGGCAATTTCAATTTATGCCACCTTTGTATGTACACTCATTTTGTAACCACCTGCCAACAGCTTGCAGTAAATATTGTTTGATTAAGAACACAATGTAAAATATTAATTTATGATGCATGGGTTGCAGATGCCCTTTGTAAAGTCCTGTGTTTTTTGGCTTTTTGCTATACAAGGAATCCATGTAAATATGGAGCAGTAACATTTAAAGTGTAAAAGTCACATTTTAAGAATAAAAATGTAGAGGACACTTTTCCTTCAAAGTGCCCTTTCCAAATAAATGACAGTGGTTCACAACAGGTCATATTTTTGGAATTTGCTTCACCCTAGCACAGATGCTTTAAATTAATGTCAATGGCTTGGTATTTATGACATAGTTACATAGTTATGTACCATTATGACATCCAATTTATCTAAGGAAAAAACCCCCAAAACAAAGCCTGATGGGTGTACTTAAGGCCTGAGGTTGGGAACCACTGCTCACAAGACATATACATGCTCCCAAAAAGCGCACCCAAGACTGCCTAATTACAGTGTGACAATTTTTGGACCTCTGATTGCGTTATTAGCTCCATAAGAGTAGTGGCACAGCAGAGGTTCTCTTTAGAAGTGTACCTGTTAGAGGTGATTGCTACACTGACTTTAGAAAGCCAAAGGGTAAATGCCTCATTCCGAATTCACTAGAAGTCCCTGGCAGTGCCATCAGTGAAAGAATGGCTACTGAAGGAGCAAGACATAATGGAAGCTGTGGAGTGGAGGCGGCAGTGTACGAACACCTATACTCTCTCTCTATCTATCTATCCATTCAGTCGTATCCGACCCGGCGATTGCATGAACTGTCACTCATAAGTGACTTTTTCCATGAATTCTATTAGCAATTATTTTACAGGGTAGGTTTCCAGGTCTTTCCCCAACCCCTACCATACAGGAGATCCTGCATGGCCAGGGATGAAAATAGGACAATTTAGACAGGAGCCAATTAACCTACCAGCATGTCTTTGGAGTGTGGGAGGAAACCGGAGTACCTAGAGGAAACCCACACAAGCACAGGGAGAACATGCAAACTCCATGCAGGAGGCGCCATGGTTGGGAATTGAACCCATGATCCAATTACTGCACGGCAGACGTACTAACCTTTAAGCCACTGTGCCGCCCACACATATACTAAGTTCTACAAATTTTGGGCCTTGGGGCTGGATTTCCTTTCCTCTGACTTTATATAAGCAGTTAATACATTTCATATGGATTTATTGATTTATTTTGGATGTGAAATGCACCTTGTGTCTTAATATACTGGCCAACCAGAAAACAGACTGTTTGTTTGTATTAGGTCTTTAAACAGTGCTGTTAATTTTTCTCATTAGCGAGGGGTTGGGCAATTTGCTCCCCCCACTCTTTTGGGTATACACTTCCTTTTGCCTCATCTTATCCCCATTTCCGATACCCCTTTTCCTCCCCTCCTAACCTAACTCCCCTTTCCTCTTACATCCCCCATCAACGTTGTGCTGTCTGCACTACTCTGTTAACCTGTTATGGGAGTAATCCTCTTACCTGGATTGTAGGCTGTTGAAATGTTGTATTAGTACTATCCCTGATAGTTCATACTGGGAATGTTGGAATGGTCTTACCCTTTTGACTACATGCAAATAAAAATAAAGACTTTACAAAAGAAAAAAAAAAAAAGCCAGGGGTTGCACTTCCCATCATTTCATGCAGCATAAAGAAGTGCCATGTAAAGTATTTACCGGCCACCATATTAGGAACAAATTTAAAAAAAATCACCCCAAAACTAATTTTATTTTAGTATTCCATTAACATGTATTTGTATCATATCTTATCTACATGATGCAAATACATGATTTTTTACATTATAATTCCATGATAAAAAATTACCTCTTCATCACTGTTGAATAGAGCGGACTTCTGGTTTTCTGAGGCTGTGGGTAATACAGGCTGCTGAGCTGGTTTAGTAGTGGCAGGTATTGGCTTATTTTCTGGTGCAGAACCAAATAAATCCTGAAACATTCCAGTTTGGAAAACCAATTGGAAGATTTAAATGTTTAGCAAGATTTATTACAACAAATAATTATATTTGCAACTGTAATATTGTTTTAAATTTATTTTTGTAATTGTATTGTATCATAATTGTAAATATAGCATATTATGCATTAGCAGCAACATTAAAAACAAATCTTTTTCTGACCATTTAGCCCCGGTTAACACCAAAGCTTGACAAGTCGCATGCCATGTATTTTAACTGTCCTGTTCTAATTGCAGCGACTCAAGTTACAGCGACTCCAAAAAAGGTTCCTGCACTACTTTTGTTTGACTTGAGTTGAGATGAAATATTGATGTTGCATTGAAGTGGCAGCAAGTTGCAATGAAGTCGCACATATAATCACATGACTTTGGGGTCACATTGGTGTGAACCAGGGCTTAAGGATTTAGGGCTACTACAGTAATAATTTTTTGGGTTTTTTTTTTTGTCCTGGTTACATTTTCAATTCTACTCCATTATAGTTGACAAAACCATAAAAAAGCTATTAAAAACTGCTGAAGATAGCATCTGTGATAACGTTACGAACATAAAGTGTTACTAAACCCAGGACCCTGCATTCACTATATCTGGACTCCCACAGTACACAGAACATGGAAATGCAATTATTTTAGTAAATATAAACTGTTAAATACCTTTTCTCATCAGCAGTTACAGCAGTGTTGTGACTTCTATCAGTGTCTGGCCAAGCACTGGTTAAAGATTGTAGGAGGAGTTTTCATTCTCCTCTGACTGTCCTATGAGGCTGCATACCCCCCTGACCCTCTGTCTGGACAGCACTGATTGGCCCTGTGCTGATCACACGCACACTCCCCAAAAAAATAAATAAATAAAAAATCTCTCTAGCAATACAAACCAAACTAAGCATGTGCAGAGTGCCTCCTAGGGCTCTGTACTATCTACAGATGGATTGAGGACTGTGGAAGAAAGAGAATCAGAGAAGACAGGATCAAACAGCCTTTTTGCACAATGTGGAGGATTAAGGTTCCATAGCGAGTATAACAAGCATGCTTTACTGCATATACAGACTGATTTTACTGTTGTGGGTTTAGTAAGACTTTAATAGGTGAATTATAACCTGTCCTAAAGAGCAATACACAGCCGGGCACTGCTAACTTCCTTCTGAAAAAGTTAGTTGCTAGGAAAGAGCCCAATATTACCAGAGAGAACCTCTGCATCAAATTAGGGAAGATTCATCAACCCCATTATGCTTTGTGTAGGGGAACAGTATACAGTATTTAAAACATCATGTGCATTTAATTCATTTTAACCATCACAAGCTTTGTGATTTTTTGAAGTGAAACATTTTCTTCCTGTTACCAGTCTTTTTTTTTTCACATCACTGTCAACATGACTGAAAGTAAGGGAAACTCCACAATTTTGAGCTGTCATTAGAACAGAAATAGAGAACAAATCTTCCAATTGGGATATTTCTTTTGGTGACAAGAGGGGGTATACATTTTTTTAACAGATTTCATTTTATTTTCTGACATGTCCAGGAACTCAAGGTAATTCTTCAAAATGGGACACAGACAGCCAAAACACTTTACAGGGGTTTTAACCCTTTCCCACTTTATCTCCCCCTCCCCCCAAAAAAGGTAGCTTAACATATACTTTAAAGGCTGATATTTGCACCTGAGTTTCACCCAGACATGACAAAACAAATCCCCTACATCGAGTGCTTTATGATCATTGATGGCTATGATAGCACAATACATATCATATCTGCAGTTTTCCTTGACCTGTCCATGAAAATATATAATAATGTTGCAAAGGATGAGGCAATATTGACTTCTCTTTTATAATGCTACATCTGACATATCCTATACACTAGCTTCAGCCTTTTGTTCAGCAGCCCCTGTGTACACTGAAGACTGCTGCCCATAGGGTTCAATAAACCCACATTGGAGCTTCTGACAGCACTGCAGTTCCTGTTAAAATATCAAAAGTGGTTCAAGTCCACAGCAACAATCCCTTTTCACTACACCAATGAGATAATGTTGACATACCATCAGGGGCAGACTGACAACTCATGGGGCCCCGGGCAATAGGGGATCATGGGGCCCCTGTGTCCTTGCACAAACTCAAAAAAGCCTATGAAAAAGGCACCAGGAGCATCTCATGGGGCCCCCTACTGACCCCGGGCCGTCAGGCAGTGCCCGAGTTTCCAAATGGTCAGTCCGCCCCTGCATGCCATTAGTAATATGAGCTAGGTATGACTGAATGATATCTTAAAAACATTTTTAGAAATGAAAAAGCTTACTTCATCTTCATCATCAAAGAGAGACAAGGCTTTACTGGTCTTGCTTGTTGGTGCCACTGATGTTGATGCTTTAGGTTTGCTGGCAGTTTGACTTGGAGAAAATAAATCTGACTGGAAAGACAGAAATGGTAGTTTAAAATGTTATTAATATAACACTACAGACAAATAGTGGCGGAAACAGGGAGGGATGACAGGGAAACTGTAGTTTCTTGATTTTCTCAATTATAAAAAATATCTAGTGGAAAACTCCGGCATGAATTTACTATACAGCGAACCCTCAAACATGACCAATTCCACTATGCTTTTTCTTTACCTCTGGTTTAAAAACACCTACTAGTTAAAAGATAAGGACAAGTTCACCTTTTAGACAAAAATAATAAATGCACATTTTTTTTGCAGGTAAACAAAATGTGCATTTATTATTTGGGTCTACAGGAGCCTGGAAAGCATTGCACCAGCAATCAGTAGATTGCTGATGCCATGCAGGTCTCCTGCAGACCTGTCAGAATATTGGCTTGTTGTACGGGATGTACAGTCAAGCAGATATTCTGACAGGAAGCTTCAATGAACTACCACAGTGCTCCACAGTGCCATGGTAGTTCATTGAAAACTACAAGCCCACAGCCACTAAGGCTGTCTGGACTTGCAGTTCATTTTCGCAGAAATCCGTGAATGAATAACGTGGCCGTGTATGGCCGTGCTGTTTTAAAATTTGACATATAGTATGGGGAGAGACGTCTCTCCATACTATCTGTCAGAGGGAGGGGGGGCGGTGGGTACTGGCTGTGGCTATGGGAACCCCTAAAAATGGGTGCAACATGTAACATGTTCCAAAAGTGGACTTATCCTTTAAAGTAGATCTAAACCCTAACCAGGTGAAGTAACTGTTTTTTATTCTTTACCTGCATCTTAATGTTGCTGATCTCCTCCAGCCACTTCATGTCTACATGCACTTACTCCAAAGTTGGCTAAAAACCACTGTTCTGGACCAGTTTGATAGAGACAACAGTGGACCATGTCAACACAATGTGAGTTGGCACAGTCATCTGTAGTCTCATTTAGACACAGGGTGATATTTCAGAACTACACGTGGGAGACGGCTGTCACCCCATAAAAGGAAGTCTCTTCGTGGCAGAATTACTATGAATTCTTGTAATGAAAGCTGCAGATTTAAGAGAATAAAAACAACCTTTGATATGACATTAAATTGGTTGTAAAGGCAGAAGGTTTTTTGTCATCATGCATTCTATGCATGAAGGTAAAAAAACGTTCTGTGTGCTGCTCCACCCACAGTCCCTACTAATACTCACCTAAGCCTCCTCTCCATCCAGCGATGTGCACGAGAGCTTCAGCTGTCCCTGGACTCCCTCTTCTCACTGGCTGAAACAGCAGCGAGAGTGATTGGCTTCCACTGCTGTCAATCACAGCCAGTGAGCCAATGAAGAGAGAGCAGGGGCGGGGGCCGAGCCACAGCTTTATTTATCCTATGGACACAGAGCTGGGCTCGAGAGTGAGCATGCACCAGTGACCCCATAGCAAGCAGCTTGCTATTGGGGGCACTGGTCAAGAGGCAAGAGATAGGAGCACCCAAGAAGAAGAGGATCGGGGATGCTATGTGGAAAACTACTGTACAGAGCAGGTAGGTATAAAATGTTTGTTATTTTTATTTTCTTTAAAAGCTGAACCTTTAGTACAACTTTAGCATATTAAAGATTATCTAAGATTTTAGAAAGTGGGTTAAAGAGGGGTCATGAACAAAGTATTTTGTTCTTTATGAGGTCGTGTTGGGTGTGGAAATGAGTAGTGCAGTGATCTTATGGTTCAATACACATGGATGCCACAAGTTTTTGATTACACTAAACATGGACTGTAGTGTCTATCTGCATGGACAGTCATTTTTGTATGTTCTTCTGCCCAGGAGACCTTCTAGATATTGTCCTGGATAAATTTTTTTCATTTGAGAATACCTCTGAATCATCCTCATCAGAGAACAAACCCTTGGCCAGCTTTTTGATTGAAGGTTCAGGTGGTTGAGGTTTTTCTGTAGGAATCTGTATATTCTGGAACCAAACAAAGATAAATATAATGAATAAGAGACTGTATATTAAAGCAGAATTAAAGTCTTAATAAAAAAAAACAAAAAAAAAAAACAAAACCTGCAAGCAGGCGGACTCATTATTGCAGATGAGATATGCAGTGTATCGTCCGCAATAAAATAATCTTGCCTGTCTGCTCGGAGTCATCCAGCAAATGTACACTGAGCTGTGCATGTGCAGCTCAGTTTACATTCTGGAACGATGCCTGTGTGCCGGGATGTCTGTACTCCTGAGCATGTGCAAGAGTGACGTTATCCTGTGCTTGCCAATCAAGGTGGACAAAGACTGGCACCTGGAAGAAGCCAAACAGGAGATGCCAACGAGGGAAAAATTGCTGACTTTATCAGTAAACCATAACTACTGTACAAGCTAAGCATTTTGCACTCATGGACCAGAAAGACTAGATAAAGAATATGGAATTGCAAAGGTTCAATTACACACTACACAGTTTTGTTCAGCAGAGTGTAGGTAGAGAAGATGGCATATGATTTTACATAATACCATTTGCAGATAAACTGAGTGGTAACGTTGACAGCTCAATGCAGAAATGTTATATATATATATATATATATATAATATATAAAAAAAATGCCACTAAAATTATTATATATATATATATATATATGCATTAAATAATTGCATAACAATATAAAAACGATATAAAATCTTCAGCATTCATACTTTTTTGTCCAGGTCTGCAGCAACTTTATTTTTTGGTAACTGTTGCAGGAGGCATAGAAGGGTGGTCATTAAATAAGTCGTCATCATCAGCAAATAAATCAGCAGCTGGTTTTTGGCTTTGGCTAAAAAGGAAGAAAGCAAATGTTTAGGATGTTAAAGAGAATCTGTAATGTACCAAAAATATAGCATAATAGTGAGTGTTATGGGAAGTCAACAATAAATTTGCAAGTTGCAATTGTCAGGTTTAAGGTCTATTCTGCTTTCCTGGGCCTCCCTAGTGCCTGGCTGGTATTATGAGGGTTCAGCCTCTGGAAGAGTTATGACATGATTACACTTAACTGTTCAATTTAACACATCAGATAATCAATGGAGTTGACAGCAAACTATTTCAACAGATATTCTCCTTACAGGAGCATATAAAACAAACTCTTTTATCTAAGCTTACAGGCACACTTTAGCAGTATTCATATAGACATGCCATGTTCAACAAACATGCCCGTTGTGTCATGTGCTAATGTGTAGGAATTGATTGAAGTTGTTGTTTTTAATTTGGACACGACATGTATCCGTTTCTGACACAAGACAAATTCTGTAGCCAAAATATGCCATTTCATCAGTTTAGTAATGTTCATCAAAAAAATCTGCAAATCAAATGGTGCCATTGCCATTTGAACAGTCAGTGGGACTCTTTTTCCCTCCATAAACCAGTTTAGCACCCCCCTGATGTCCCCCCATGAAGACCTAGGACCAGGTACCCTTAGGCATTGAGAGCAACCTACCTTTCCCTGCATGGAGACAGCAGTGTTCTCCACACATGCTCTTGGAAGGTTGTGTCTACCATACAACTTGGTAATTTGCAACCTCACCAAATGTAAGTCGATTTTCTGTTTATATCAATAAATCTTTTTAAAAAATATTCACTACAGATATCTTCTACATACTACATTATATGGGCTCACCCACCTCTCAAATGGACCCCATGGAGCCTGCTGCCTCCTTTTGTCCTGTACACCTTTGAGGACCACCACCCCTACTAACACTAAAGCCAGCCATAGAGGAGTCAAAAACTGAATGAGTTTTTCCCCCATCATTAGTGTGCCACACACGATTTTTGTGCTGCAATCAAAAGTATTTGATCCAACACGCTGGATTTTTTTTTTTTAGAAAAACAAAAAATAAATAATGGCACAATCGAATGAGCTATTTTCATTTTTTTGAATGACAAAACGTTTGGTTTTCGACTTATCTATAAATACCAGATGGGACCTGATTAGTTTTGTTAGGCATTACTCCAATTTTATGTTCTATTTTCTATGAATATATGTTGTATTTATATCCCACTTGAGATTATTATTATTATACAGCTTTCATATAGCGCCAACAGTTAGTGCATCGCTTTACAATATAAAGGGGGACAGTACAATTACAATACAGTTCAATACAGAAGGAATAGAAGGGCCCTGCTCATGGAGCTTACAATCTAAAGGAAGGGGGAGGTGGTACAAAAGGTGATAGCTGCAGGTTAATTGGAGCCCGTCTAAATTGGCCCTAGTATGTGTATGTATGAATGTAAGTTAGGGACTTAGATTGTATGCCCCTTGAGGGTTAGGGACTGATGGGAATGTACAATACATATGTAAAGCACTGCATAAATTGTTGGCACTATATAAGTACCTGTAATAATTACACTATGCACTTCATTAGTGAATTTAGCCTTTGGCTAAAGATACGCTTTATCAAGTGCCCGATAAACATTAGATTGAAGCTACATGGTAGGCAATGCTTCTACCAAAAAGGTCAACTTTTTCATCTTGCACAAGCATGTATGTACTGTGAAGAGCAACGCCAGTGTTAACTACTGAAAAGAGGAGACCATTGGTTGTTTGGATAAAAGTTCTCAAACTATCCCTATGAAAACCATTACACATCCAATCCATATGCTTCCCCCTTAGAGATCTATAAGGAGTCATCTTTAATATAGATGGGAATAGAAGCACATCTTGTGCAAAGCAAACAAATCGGTTTCAGAGAAAGTAATTTGAAATTCTGTATTTTGCCGCCAACTGTACAGTAAATATGCAATAAAAAAAAAATATATTTTCACAACACATCTACCACAATTAGCATGATTTACAGTGAAATATTTAGAGGAAACACAAAAGTAAAGCAGAGCCTTTTGCACTTCTCTCTTGGGAGTTTCTATTGGTTTAATTTTACCTGCAGGTTGGGCTGGAGCTGATCCACCAAACATTACATCGTCATCATCAAACAGGCTTGCGTTTGTCACAGGCTTTGGAGAAACCTCTGTAGGAGTAGTAATCTTTCTTTTATCTTTGTCTGCCAAGATAGAGGGGTTTATCACATTCTCTCCCCCTGCAGAAAACAAAATACTTACATTTTACAAAACAATGTTAAAAATAGCACTGATAACAGGACAGCCATAGGCGGCCCAATATTTGCAAACAATGTCACTAATTCGAACACCGTGTGAGCATAAGCATGAATCCTTTGTGAGCTCCAATTCACAACTTGACTCTATTCCCACTCACATTTCAAAGAGCTGCGCCAATTATGAAGCACCGTTGCTACTGTGCAGGCAGTTACAGTCATTGTAAATGTCCCCATTTTATGTTTTTTTTTTTAAATAACAAACATCTCTATACTTACCTGCTCTGTGCAATGGTTCGGCACAGAGCAGACCTGATCATCCTCCTGTCTGGGATCCCCTGCCAGAGCTCTTCTGAGTACTCCCATAGTAAGCTGCTTGCTATGGGAGTACTCATGCAGGCTTGATGCAAAGCCACACTGTGTGAGTCTATTGAAATACAGTGAGGCTTGGCTCCACCCCCTCATCACTGGATTTTATTGACAGCAGCAGGAGCCAATGGCAAGACGCTTCTCTCGGGCACAGTGCTGGATTGAGATTGGGCTTGGGTAAGTATTTAGGGAGGGCTGGGGGAACTGCACATAAAGGTTTTTTTTTTTTTTTTTTTTACCTTAATGCAGAGAATACATTAGGGTAGGAGTGTCAAATTCCATTTCATCAGGGGCCATATCAGCTGTAAGACTAGATGTCCAGGAGTACCCCACCTTAGATGTCAAGAATCCCACACCCTCCCTAACATCTCCGTGCACCCACTTTGGGGGCAGAGCTGGAAAGCAGAAAGTGCAGGGTCTGGAGAAGGACCAGAGGAGGAATGGAGTCAGTTACCAGAGCCTGCTGAGTGCTGCGAACAGGGGAGGCAGAGATGAGGGGTTGCTGCAGCTGCACTGAGAGGTGAAGGATTTGGCATAGGAGTTCTATTCTCCTCTCAGCTGCTGATTGCTGAGACAAGGTGGGGGCAGAGACAAGGGGATACAAGGGCCACATGAAATGGCCTGGAGGGCCGGATTCGGCCCGCGGGCCTTGTGTTTGACACCTGTGCATTAGGGTAAAAAACCTTTAGCCTTTACAAGTACTTTAAGGTAAGTGAACCTGTTGCTTTTCAGTAAACAGGCAAAGCAACAGGTTGGAGTTCTGCAGATAACAACTTCATTTATTTTTGACTGCTGTTTTTTTAAAAAATGGAGAGATTTTTACAGATTAGGTAAAATTGCACTTACACACTTTGGAGAAGCAGTTAATCAAAATGCACCTGTGAAATATCTAACTTAACCATTATTAATCAATTTGCTTGTCTTTTTTTAACAAACTCTACAACTCCGCTGTCCCCATTACCTGGGAAAAGAGAAACCCCTCCGTATGGTGGCTTCTTTTTCACATCAGATGGCAATGTTTCTGAAGACAATAAAAAACAATGCTTTGTTGACTGAAACAAACACGTTTTCTAATAAAAGAACATTCCAGCATTTTTTTGTAGTTGAAGACAATGGATTCCTAAAACAGATATCCCTACCAGGTCTGGCGACTGGTGCTGGCTCTGCTGGCTTGCGTTCTTTAGTCTGGAGGTCGGAGAAAAGATCACCCTGAGGGTACATAAAATGGTTCATATGTTAAAAAAAAAGGCAACCATCTGATATATCTGATAATAAAATGTGTCAGATTTTAATTTGAGGTTAGGGGAAAAGTAATGGTTTCTTTAAACATAAGAATCAGGAGATATTATAGCATAAAAATAAAATTAATGCGGCTTTACCAACCTCTTCATCATCATCGTCATCAAAAAGCCCCTTTCCTCCACTGAAGAGACCTCCTTTATTGCCAAAGAAGTCTTCATCAGTAAGTTTGGGTGGTTTGAACATGTCATCATCTTCATCTAGAATAGCAAGGAAAGAAATAGAAACAAAAAGAAGTAAACAGATTACTACATGCTGGCTTGAACAATGCGGCTGGACCACATCTCACACAAAACAGATGTTAATGTGACGGTCAAAATTACATGTATTTTTTATTTTTTTTATAGCAGTACATATATTTTTTCTTTTAATAATAAAGTGGCTTTTAAGAAAGTATCAGTCTTTGTTACAATAGGTACTTCTGTGTACTGCAGACGATGTGTGGAGAAAAGAATGCAAGCTATATTTTTTTTTTTATAACTGAACTTGCTGACTCTTCCCAGAACAAAATCAAGTTGTAGCCATTCACAGGAAGCTTTTGTAATTTAGGAATGAATACAAGGCATCCTTTGATTGACTGCGGTGTAGAGGTGCGGAGAGGGACTTGCCACTATGATCTCCATCTCAGCCAGAGGAAGCCAAAGTTCCCATCCCGCTGGCAAAACACAGCACTGTATACTGTATGTAACTGATTATACAGTGCTCCCAGCAGATCCATCTATTAGTGAAGCAAATAGTCCAAACAAACTAAATAAAGTTCACCAAAACCTGGAATTAGGCTTTAAAGTTTAATAAACTGAACAGTCATATTTATGTCCATCCTGCTTTAATACACAGAATGCCCTACCATCAGAAGGAAGTTTTCTAAATTCTTTTTTCTCTTTTTCTTTCTTTGTTTTGACTTCTGATGATGATGATGATATAACTAAAAAAAAAATACAGAAAGTAAATTAGCCTCCTGGCAATGCCATGTGTTTTCTGAATAGGTCATATAACATAAGCAGGTTTTTTCAAGTCAATGAGACTATAAGCAATGTGCAATAATCTACTGCAGTAAATATGCAATTGTCTAAATTGTTCCTCTGATCTCAAGTGGTTTTACATTGTGCACTGCCTTATTCCAAAACCTATTATAATGGGAATGTTTACCCTATAAGCACCTTTCACATTCCTATAATGCCTTAATACCCATGACAGCACTGTACTTACATGACTCATCTGTCTCTAGTCTTTTTGGAATCTCTGCTTGTATCCGGGCAGCCAATTCATCAGCAAAAGATTTAGTTCTAGTCTTTGCCTGGGGGGTAAACACAAATACTCAGCATTGGTACTACCTCCTATGTGGATTGAATTTTACCCAGAATACTGCACTGTGTACGTCAGAAGTTATGATCATAATTGGTACTAGTTCCTTTAATTACCTAATATCACCCCAAAAACCTTGTGTATTTAATCACTTGCCTACCGGGCACTTTTACCCCCCTTCCTGCCCAGGCCAATTTTCAGCATTCATGAAGACACAATTGTCATTTTAAATGACAACTGTGCGGTCATGCAACACTGTACCCATATGAAATTTTTATAATTTTGTTTCCACACAAACAGATCTTCCTTTTGGTGGTATTTAATCGCCACTGGGGTTTTTATTTTTTGCTTTATAAAAAAAAAAAAAAAAAGAGCAACAAATTCGACAAAAAAAAAGTTTTTCTTTGTTTCTATTATAAAATTTAGCAAACAGGTAATTTTTCTCTTTCACTGATGTGCGTTGATGAGGCTGTACTGATGGACATGGATAGGCAGCACTGATGAGGAGGCACCGATATGCAACAATGATGGGCGCTGATAGGTGGTGCTGACTGGCGGCACAGACTGGGAACTGATGGGTGGCACTGCTGGGCACAACTGCTAGGTGGCACTGCTGGGTGAAACTGCTGGGACTGCTGGGTGAAACTGCTGGGACTGCTGGGTGAAACTGCTGTGCCCTGATGATCAGTGCAGATGTGACATTTGCTGGTTATCGGCAGTACTTTCCTCACGCTGTGACAGCGTGAGGAAAGTGCTGCCCATAACCGGCAACTGTATTTACTTGGTGATCTGCTGTGCCATTGGACACAGTTGATCACATGGTAAAAGGCCACTGTGATTGGCCTTCTACCTCATCATGTGATCAGCTGTCTCACGGACAGTAGCGGGTGCGCGCATTCTGGGAGGATATCATATTACACCCTTCCAGAAATGGACAACCGCGCTGTAGCCGTCGTTCGGCTATAGCGTGGTTGTGAAGTGGTTAAGATGGTGCTCTCATAAATGGTATAACAATATATAGTGGTCATTAGCAAAGTTTAAAGCCAGTATGCTCACTAGGTTCCAACAACATGAAAAAAGAAAATGACAAAGGAAACTAATGGGATATTTTCAAAGGGTGCTAAAACGGTGATACACCATAAGGTGTTTGCTCCGGCATTTGCCATAGTTGATCAGGATTTCAGATTGCCACAAAGCGATCTGTTTGCACAACTACTACTCTTAAGGGCATCTTTTTTGTGTGTGCATACAGCCACATTTGAATTGTTGAAATTGGAAAAAGGCAGCCTTAGAGGATTGTTGTACATCCACACAGTGTTGCCATTTGTGAGAACAATTGCTTCCCAAAACAAGGGATACTAATTATCGTGTACTGTTGTGGGAATTGGGGTCCATCCCTACTTTCTGACATACTGATGCTTTGTGTCATTTATTAACGTACATTGCATTAAGACAGCTCATTTATACTGAAAGAACTACCAACATACAAGAATGGACATGCAGCATGTTTCCTGATGCAGCACATGACAGCGCATAGCAGCGTCTTACTATGTGTTGTGGCGCAGTGCAACTCACGTGTGTCAGAGCTGGGCTGACATTGTGATGGGGTGCAACTCAAAATAAATGCATTTAATTTGCATTACAGTGCACAGCAGTAATGAGTGTTACTTAAAATCAGTGCAACAGAGAAGGATTAATGGCCCCCTTAAAGTAAACTTTTAGTACGAAAAATACAGAAGCTGCCATTGCTGACCTTCTGGAAGGTCAGGCTGCCTGCCTCTTATGCTGACCCACTGACTTCAGTTCTTCGTGTCAATGACCTGGAACAAGCATGCTGATCAAGAGAGTGGGACATAAGTAATTCTTATCTACTTAAATGTCCCAAGCAAAAAACACATTTTAAGAAGGAGAAGGTCATTAATAGCAGCCTCCATGTTTTTCTTAAGACACATATCTTTATAAGGTAACCTATGCAGTGTGTGTGTGTAAACATATAATAAAATTATATATTTTATATAACGTACATATACAAATAAAATGTAATGCCATAGATTTCAGATCCAATTTAAAGATACATCATGCTGGTACCTGCTATTTAGTCCAGACCATAGTGTAATAGCTAAAGTAACTACGGGTACACCTTAAGATCAATGAGGACAGTAAGGTAACACTATGTGCTTATCTCAGTCATGGTATATCAATGAACATACAAATATCTACATTTAAAAAAAAAAAAAAAATAGCTGGCCTATCTTACAGATTTATCATTCTCCTCCTCATCTTCTTTGTCTGATTCTCCAAACAGATCTGATCCATTATCTTCATCCTCATCACTCAGGGCTGTACGCTGGTGAGATGGATACAATAAAGATGTAACATTCAATATAATGCAGAAATGATTTATTCTCATTTATTAAAATATTGCAAGTAAGAACTGTCTGTGCTGCTCTTCAGCAATGAATCATATATTCTAATATTTGTTACGTGTTTTTTTTTGTACAGATTTTGATCATACTGGCTGCTGTGGGACAAAAAAGACATTTCTTACTTTCAACAAATAAGTCAGTTTGATGAATTCGATTACTGAATTACCTCTGTGCTGCTTTTCAGCAATGCATTTACACCAGCATAAGCCTTTGTTTTAGTAGAACCCAACAGTAAATCCATGGTACATGCATTTTTAAAACATTAACTTCAAGCCCACTCAGGGATCAGTAAATAATGATAACTGGAAGGTGCCTGGAGTATACATAAGCCTATCAATCCTATCTTCTTCACCCAGCCCTATTCTACTCGATGCAGAAAGTGTTTTTTAATGTCACTACCGCAGAGGAGAACATATTTTGGAGGAAGTGTGGAGACCTCAGACTTTTTCTCTACAGATAATTTTAAACATCCTGCTTTCACCAACAAGTCACATGTTTACACAACAGCAAATCATAGGCTTTTCTCTGTTGTCTGTACACTAGGTCTGTGCTGTGGAGGGGAAGAGGTGCAGAGTAGAATACCACTCCTTTAACTAATCAAGGATATGCTGCTATCTTACTGATGTCCATTAACCACTTCAAGTCCGGACACTTTCACCCCATTCCTGTTTAGGCCAATTTTCAGTTTGAATGACAATTGTGCGGTCATGCAACACCGTAGACATATTAATTTTTTGCATTTTTTTAAGACAGATAAAACTTTATTTTGGTGGTATTTATTCACCACTGGGATTTTTATTTATTTGTTATATAAATGAGAAAGTCCAAACATTTTGAAAAAAAAAAGTGCTTTTCTTATAAAATTTTGCAAATAAATAATCTTCTTCATAAATATTGGCCAAAATGTATACAGCTATCTTTTAAGTACAAAAAAAAAAAAACCCAAATTAGTTTATAACCAAACCAAAATTATAACTTTTCAAAAACATTTTTTACATTTTTATTTTGTTTTTAATGTACCGTCACCATAGTGACACTGTACTACTTGTGGGGGGGTGATGAAGATTTTTTTTTTCTTTTTTTACACTGATTGCTTTTACACCCATAAAGGCTGTAAAAAGCAATCATTTCTCCTTCTCTCTGGCTGCATTCTTGCAGCCATTGAGAAATACTGTGCGAGCTGTTGTGAATAGCCTTGTACCATGTGACCTCTGATCATTCACAGATTTCACACGTAGTAAGCAATGATGTCAGACGTGACATCTTGCTTACTACTCTTCATGTGATCACTGATTGGCCAATCTGTGATCACATGAATCTGTGTGAGGTTTTGCTGTGTCCACGCTGCACCGCGATCTGGTGCCCGTGGTGGTCCCAGGGAGTGCGCACAGTCAGTGAATGCGGGGGCTGCTTATAAACAGCGACCCGCTTCAGCACTGCTCCCGTCTGACCGTTTATGTACGTGGGCCGGACCGGAAGTGGTTAAAAGGAACCCTCTGTAATGTAATCATTTACACAGATGTATATCTGCAAAAAAAAAAACTCACAAAACCTCTTGGTCTTGTCACTAATTAGAACCTGTCCTGTGTCTTCTGCAAACTTCCTGTGATATCTCAAAGCACCTCCCAGTTCTTATCTCGGACTTCAGAATGATTAGTCTTTATGTTGTGGAGATCTGAGAGTAGGAGTGGCTGAGTAGTTTAGCAAAATACACTGGGCAGGGCTGACACCTTTTAGTCCACAAAAATGCTGTGTGTAAACAACAGAACATAGGAGTTGACTGGCAAATCACGCAGTTTGTTTATATACTTCTAGGGGATCTTAAAGGGATAAAACACAGGGGAAATGTGCATGTATTGCAGACATGTACTGCACGTGTTTTGTTAGTTTGCCTTGACATATGCTTTATGTATTTGATGTATCCTGTGCCCAACAAAATGACTATTGCTAGTAAAAATATATATTGATGTATTTTTTTTTTTCTCACTCAATAGCTGTATAGACACCACATGCCTTTGCACTTAACTGTATCCTTACCAATTTCTTATCCTCTTCAGAGTTGTTGCCAAAATCCTCATCGGACTCCTGTAAACATACACAGGAAACATTTAGTGGAGCTCGATAATAAAGTTTATTTCCAATAATTATATAAAACTATGAAAAATAGAACCATGCTAACAGAACACACTATAAAATGTATTTTCTTGTCAGAAAATGCAGAATGAAAAGACAAAAATTGTGACTGAGCACTTCATAGCAGCTACACAAATATATTACGGTATATACAATATTCCTGATAGGCGACACCTGAATGATCCGGATCATTAATAGGTCATTATATAATTATCAGAAGCTTTGCACTCTACTTCAGATGCTCAAATAGCTGTCACTAACATACATATTGTTTTACCTCTTCATTATCTTTTTCTTCTTCTTCTTCCTCCTCCTCTTCTTCACTGTCTAGGATGCTTCCTCTGTCAATATCTACAGAGCCTTCTATTGAAAGAAAAAAAAACAAAAAAAAAAACTATGAATGCAGGCCAAACATGCTTCGAATTCCAAACGATTTTTCGTGCGAAAATCGAAAAGGTTGTTCGTTTTTCACAAATTTTCCAACATGCCTGATCACAGAAAAGGGGAGGAACTAAGAAAATCAGCCAGTGCCATTGACCCACTAACAGAGCGAAAATCAGCCGAATATTCTTAGGTCTGAGTTTCGGACGAAAAAACGGTCGAATTGTGACCCATGTATGGCCGGCCTTATTACTCTTGCAAGGGCCCTGATTACCTGCAACGGGATGCGCAGGTGTTCCATGCATCCCCATGCAGGCAGTTCTATTGTTGCAACTTGGGGCTCAAAGGCTGCACGGACACGACTGCTGCTGCCAAAATGACACCTGTGTGGGTGTAGGCGTGGGGTCCCCATTGCAGATGGTGTTAGTTTGGGGACACGCACATCCACACAGATGTCATTTTGGGAGCAGTGACTGTATCCATGCAGCCGCTATGTCCCAAATTACATCAATGGGACTGCCTGCACAGGGATGCACAGGACAGGTGTGCACCCCTGAGCAGGTAAACATGTCCCTAAGAACGAGGTACGAACTGATACCCCCCAAGTGAATGAGACCTTACTTTTAAGTGTTCCATTTAAAAAAAGTTAACGTTAAATGGTCAGCCTTTAATATTTTTAAAGTAAAACTATAGGCCAGTGATGGCGAACCCATGGCACACGTGCCACAGCCGGCACGCCGAGCCTTGTCTGTGGGTACGCCAGGAGAATCCAGCGGCGCGCTGTCTTCCCGGCTGTAGTGTGCGTGACAGCCGGGTCCCAAGTGCGCATGCACAAGAAGCAGTGCTCTTTGTGAATGGTAAGGCGGTACCTGGGACACATGACAGATCCCAGAAGCCGCCGGACCAATCACAAAGCGCAGCGCTTCTCGCGCATGCGCACTGGGCATCCGGCTGTCCGACGAGCGCCCACACTACAGAAGCCGGGAAGACAGCGCGCGGCTGGATAGAGGAAAAGGTAAGATAAAAAAAAAACTCTGCGGAAGTAAGAGCGGGTACCTGTCAAATTCAGGTACCCGCTCCCCCTCCCTCCCCAAAGGTCAGCAGTCATCTCTGTACTGTCCGCAGTCTCTGGTCATCCCTGTGCTGTCCGCAGTCTCTGGTCATCCCTGTGCTGTCCGCAGTCTCTGGTCATCCCTGTGCTGTCCGCAGTCTCTGGTCATCCCTGTGCTGTCCGCAGTCTCTGGTCATCCCTGTGCTGTCCGCAGTCTCTGGTCATCCCTGTGCTGTCCGCAGTCTCTGGTCATCCCTGTGCTGTCCGCAGTCTCTGGTCATCCCTGTGCTGTCCGCAGTCTCTGGTCATCCCTGTGCTGTCCGCAGTCTCTGGTCATCCCCTGTACTGTCCGCAGTCTCTGGTCATCCCTGTACTGTCCGCAGTCTCTGGTCATCCCTGTACTGTCCGCAGTCTCTGGTCATCCCTGTGCTGTCCGCAGTCTCTGGTCATCCCTGTGCTGTCCGCAGTCTCTGGTCATCCCTGTGCTGTCCGCAGTCTCTGGTCATCTCCTGTACTGTGTCCGCAGTCTCTGGTCATCCCTGTACTGTGTCCGCAGTCTCTGGTCATCTCCTGTACTGTGTCCGCAGTCTCTGGTCATCCCTGTACTGTGTCCGCAGTCTCTGGTCATCCCTGTACTGTGTCCGCAGTCTCTGGTCATCCCTGTACTGTGTCCGCAGTCCCTGGTCATCCCTGTACTGTGTCCGCAGTCTCTGGTCATCCCTGTACTGTGTCCGCAGTCTCTGGTCATCCCTGTACTGTCCGCAGTCACTGGTCATCCCTGTACTGTCCGCAGTCACTGGTCATCCCTGTACTGTGTCCGCAGTCTCTGGTCATCTCCTGTACTGTCCGCAGTCTCTGGTCATCTCCTGTACTTTCCGCAGTCTCTGGTCATCCCTGTACTGTCCGCAGTCACTGGTCATCCCTGTACTGTGTCCGCAGTCTCTGGTCATCTCCTGTACTGTCCGCAGTCTCTGGTCATCTCCTGTACTTTCCGCAGTCTCTGGTCATCCCTGTACTGTCCGCAGTCACTGGTCATCCCTGTACTGTGTCCGCAGTCACTGGTCATCTCCTGTACTGTCCGCAGTCTCTGGTCATCCCTGTATTGTCCGCAGTCTCTGGTCATCCCTGTACTGTGTCCGCAGTCTCTGGTCATCCCTGTACTGTCCGCAGTCTCTGGTCATCTCCTGTACTGTCCGCAGTCTCTGGTCATCTCCTGTACTGTTCGCAGTCTCTGGTCATCTCCTGTACTGTGTCCGCAGTCTCTGGTCATCTCCTGTACTGTGTCCGCAGTCTCTGGTCATCTCCTGTACTGTGTCCGCAGTCTCTGGTCATCTCCTGTACTGTGTCCGCAGTCTCTGGTCATCTCCTGTACTGTGTCCGCAGTCTCTGGTCATCTCCTGTACTGTGTCCGCAGTCTCTGGTCATCCCTGTACTGTGTCCCCAGTCTCTGGTCATCCCTGTACTGTGTCCGCAGTCTCTGGTCATCCCTGTACTGTGTCCGCAGTCTCTGGTCATCCCTGTACTGTGTCCGCAGTCTCTGGTCATCCCTGTACTGTGTCCGCAGTCTCTGGTCATCCCTGTACTGTGTCCGCAGTCTCTGGTCATCCCTGTACTGTGTCCGCAGTCTCTGGTCATCCCTGTACTGTGTCCGCAGTCTCTGGTCATCCCTGTACTGTGTCCGCAGTCTCTGGTCATCCCTGTACTGTGTCCGCAGTCTCTGGTCATCCCTGTACTGTGTCCGCAGTCTCTGGTCATCCCTGTACTGTGTCCGCAGTCTCTGGTCATCCCTGTACTGTGTCCGCAGTCTCTGGTCATCCCTGTACTGTCCGCAGTCTCTGGGTCATCTCCTGTACTGTCCGCAGTCTCTGGTCATCTCCTGTACTGTGTCCGCAGTCTCTGGTCATCTCCTGTACTGTCCGCAGTCTCTGGTCATCCCTGTACTGTCCGCAGTCTCTGGTCATCCCTGTACTGTGTTCGCAGTCTCTGGTCATCCCTGTACTGTGTCCGCAGTCTCTGGTCATCCCTGTACTGTGTCCGCAGTCTCTGGTCATCCCTGTACTGTGTCCGCAGTCTCTGGTCATCCCTGTACTGTGTCCGCAGTCTCTGGTCATCTCCTGTACTGTGTCCGCAGTCTCTGGTCATCCCTGTACTGTCCGCAGTCTCTGGTCATCTCCTGTACTGTGTCCACAGTCTCTGGTCATCCCTGTACTGTGTCCGCAGTCTCTGGTCATCCCTGTACTTTCCGCAGTCTCTGGTCATCCCTGTACTGTCTGCAGTCACTGGTCATCCCTGTACTGTGTCCGCAGTCTCTGGTCATCCCTGTACTGTGTCCGCAGTCTCTGGTCATCCCTGTACTGTGTCCGCAGTCTCTGGTCATCCCTGTACTGTCCGCAGTCTCTGGTCATCCCTGTACTGTCCGCAGTCTCTGGTCATCTCCTGTACTGTGTCCGCAGTCTCTGGTCATCCCTGTACTGTGTCCGCAGTCTCTGGTCATCCCTGTACTGTGTCCGCAGTCTCTTGTCATCCCTGTACTGTGTCCGCAGTCTCTGGTCATCCCTGTACTGTCCGCAGTCTCTGGTCATCCCTGTACTGTGTCCGCAGTCTCTGGTCATCCCTGTACTGTGTCCGCAGTCTCTGGTCATCCCTGTACTGTGTCCGCAGTCTCTGGTCATCTCCTGTACTGTCCGCAGTCTCTGGTCATCCCTGTACTGTTAATTAGTTTGCACTACTGTACGAGTTGTTTTTTCTAAACCAAAAGCTCGATATTCAGGTTTCATTGCAGTGTTGGCACTTTGAAAGAAATAAGTTGGTTTTGGGTTGCAGTTGGGCACTCGGGCTCAAAAAGGTTCGCCATCACTGCTATAGGCAAAACTTTTTTTTTTCATTTTGGATAGAATAAGGGAGGGTTATAACGCCTGATTTTTTTTTTTGCCATCTGTGTCCCATTGCGGAGATTTCCCTTCACTTCTTGTCTCATAGCCAAACAGTAAGTGAGAGGGAATCCCTCCGAATTAAATGGAAGATTTACCCTATTAGTTTTTTGGGGACAACCCAAAATTTGGGATTTTATTTTACTTTCACTTTTTAATGATAATGGTAAACAAGGCAAATAGGGTGAATCTTCCTAAAGGGAGCACAGACAGCAATAACAATTGACGGGTTCAAATCCATCGCCACTCTGTCCTTTAGTTATACTTTAAAAATGAACATTTATCCCTAAAAGCAGGGTCCATAGTGTCATGATAAAACACCTCAAGCAGTCTACGATGACATCAGTTTACCGCAAATGAAATGTAGATAACCTTGTGTCAATCTGCTACCAAAAAAATTATTACCAACATGCTAGTCAGGCAGGAAAAAAAAAACACCAAATATTATCAGGTAAATTATATAAAACAAAGCCAAACATCTCAATCAGATATTTTATTTCCACTAACATTCTGATCATTTCCATTCAATTTTGCAGAATTATGTTAAAAAAAAAAAAAAATCCAATTTGCAAACCAAGTGTGCTTCACATGGAGCCAAATAATTCTAAAATGATCACTTGGATCTCTGTTTATATTTCCTAAACTATTTTTTTTTTTAAATTGAAAGTGAAGAGATTGATGCAGATGGATTTTCTGTTTGTGAAATAGCAAACAATCATTTCATACATCCAATCGTCATTAACATTAAAACTTTCCTGATGTGTAGATCTCCTGTTAAAGTTATAAATTACCTTCACTTGACAGATCTCCAAGGCCAACGTCCTCTTGCTGCATGAACAATTGTGATCCAATTAAATAAGGTAGTGGCCGATCTATGTAGAGATCCTGAAATAATATTGGATACCCATCAATAAAAGCCATGGAACATTGCTGTCATGTAGTACTGATTAATTAAATTTTGCCTAGGACCTAGCAACCATGTTTCCACTTCCATCTAATTACAGTAATGCCCTTTTCACACGGGCTTTCCAATCAGGTCCACCTTTAAGTATTTGGGTTTTTTTTTTTTTTTTATAGGTGGCACTGAAGGAAAAAGCTCCACGCATCTCTACTGGCAGGCGAATGTAGACAGACTTGAGTTTGTTTACACCCACGTACCTCTGAGTTTGTTCTACTCTGTTTTCACAGACCTAAACATGACTGATTGGAGGTAGCCTGACAAAGTCTGTTTACATCCAGCTACCCAAATAGCCATCACAAGTCCATAGACGTCTGCTGTTAAAATGCTGTCCTGTTTAGTTCTGATTCAGCAAAGAATCTGTTCATGGATCTCCTGCTGATTGCAGCTGACAAAGTCCCTGTGAAAGGACCATTACAAGACACTAAAAAAAAAACAAAAAAAACTGACAAGTTGCTATTAGAGATGAGCGAATTATTCAAAAATTCGGTTCGGCTGATTCGCCGAATTCGCCGAATAAATTCGCTTGAATATATTCGCTGCGAATTTAACTTATAAAAAGGGTGTTTCTAGGCTTCAGAGAGCCTTTATATTAGTGCAGAACACTGTACCTTTAATTTAAATGCCCTTGGAGTCTGCTGGGGAAGAGAACTAATACTGTCAGTCAGTATGACATGCAGATGAGTGCCGTCGATCTTAGAATCACCGCACACTTCACTCATTTGGGCAGTCACGGGGCCAAAACCAGAGTGTGGAGCCACAGTGTGGCGGTGGAGGCAGCAGCAATGGGAGGCCATACAGCACCCTATGACAAAATGGAACCCACCAGCAGTGTGAGGAGACCTGAAAGTGGCACATGGCAGAGTGTGGCGATGGAGACAGCAGCAATGGGAGGCCGTACAGGGACCCATGACACACTCTGGACCTGGCAGCAGCATGAGGAGGCGGTACAGGGGCCCATGACAGATTACGGGCCTGGCAGCAGCATGAGGAGTCGGTACGGGGGCCCATGGCAGATTACGGGCCTGGCAGCAGCATGAGGAGGCGGTACAGTGGCCCATGGCAGAGTGGCGGAGCGTAAGCAGCTAAAATTGAAGGCCATACAGAGGCCTATGTTAAAAAGTCCCCCCAGCAGCAGCGTGGGGAGACGACTATCAAGAGTCCAATGGCAGAGTGGCGGAGCAGAAGCAGCTTCAATTGAAGGCCATACACAGGCCTAGGTTTAAAAGTCCCTCACAGTTAATTCCAATAACGAACTCTACTCCTCCGTGCAATCTACTTACGAGACCCTGGGCAGGTCTGGGTCCAATTTGTGGTAGAGACTGGTTTTGTCCAGCCATGCTTGAGCGAGTAATAACAGGTCTGTGCTGCCCTTTGGTGTCTGGCTTAATGCGCACAACACTGAACGTCCCAGCGTTTGTCAACGATTTGCCGTTAAGTGATGCAAACCCGCTGAACCACGTTCATGAGGAGCCGGTACAGGGGGCCATGAATCAGTATGGACCTGGCAGCAGCGTGAGCAGACGACAGAGGCACATGGCGCAGGGTGGCGGTGGAGGCAGCAGCAATGGAAGGCCATACAGCACCCTATCACAAAATGGAACCCACCAACAGTGTAAGGAGACCTGAAAGTGGCACATGGCAGAGTCTGGCGATGAAGTCAGCAATGGGAGGCCGTACAGGGACCCATGACACACTCTGGACCTGGCAGCAGCATGAGGAGGCGGTACAGGGCCCCATGGCAGAGTGGCGAAGCGTAAGCAGCTTAAATTGAAGGCCATACAGAGGCCTATGTAAAAAAGTCCCCGCAGCAGCAGTGTGGGGAGACGACTATCAAGAGTCCAATGGCAGAGTGGCGGAGCGGAAGCAGCTTCAATTGAAGGCCATACACAGGCCTAGGTTAAAAAGTCCCCCCAGCAGCAGTGTGGGGAGAAGACTATCAAGAGTCCAATGGCTGAGTGGCGATCCGGGAAGTCAGCGTTGTGATTGCAGATGCAATGCAGAAATTCTACGAAGTAATGCCGTGGGTGCGAAGAAGATCATATACCGTCGTACTTCCATCCATAAGACGGAACAACCTGCGAACCGGGAGCTTTATTGCCCTGACCCGCTGAGCAGCTTCTGGGATACCCAAGAGGCCCATGGCAGAGTGGCGGAGCGTAAGCAGCTTCAATTAAAGGCCATACAGAGGCCTATGTTAAAAAGTCCCCCCAGCAGCAGCATCTACCGCACCCTGACCAGCCATTGTTAACAGCATTTTTTCCAGGACGTGCAACAGAGGAATGACGTCGTTCATCCCATAGTCCTGCCGACTCACGAATAGCGTGGCCTCCTCAAAGGGCCTGAGCAAGCGGCAGGTGTCACGCATGAGCTGCCAATGGCTGACATCTAAGTTACACAGGGGAGTACCTTTATCCGCTTGTAACATCAGGAAATCGGTGATGGCCTTTCGCTGTTCGTAAAGGCGGTCTAACATATGTAGGGTTGAATTCCACCTTGTTGCAACGTCGCAGATCAGGCGATGCTGTGGAATTCCGTTCTGCCGCTGCAGCTCAAGGAGGGTGTGCTTTGCGGTGTAGGAATGGCTGAAATGCATGCAAAGTTTACGTGACATTTTAAGGATGTCTTGCAGTGGGATGGTGGATTTTAGGAACCGCTTGACAACCAGATTGAACACGTGAGCCATGCATGGCGCATGGCACAACCTTCCTTGACGCAGAGCAGACACCATGTTCTTTCCGTTGTCGGTCAACATGGTTCCGATTTTCAGTTTGCGCGGAGACAGCCATCTGTCGATTTCTCTGTTCATTACACTCAGAAGTTCCTCCCCTGTGTGACTACGTTCGCCAAGGCATACCAGGTGCAGCACAGCGTGACACCGTTGCGCCCTGCACATGTGATATGCCGGTCGGGTAATGGGACTTGGCACGGGGGTGGCGGCTGAGGACACGGCGGAAGAAGAGGTGGTAGAGGCGGACATCTTTGCTGGACCAAGGACGTGCAAACGTGGAGGCAAAAGCGGCGTGACCTGTCCAAGTTGCTGGTGCGGCTGTGACGGCACCACGTTCACCCAGTGGGCCGTAAATGACATGTACTGTCCTTGACCGTAGTTACAGCTCCACACGTCGGCGCTGCCGTGCACTTTGGCAGAGACCGACATGCTCAAAGACTGGCCCACCATCTCTTCTACATGTGAATGCAGGGCTGGCACTGCCTTTTTGGCGAAGAAATGCCGGCTTGGCACTCTCCACCGCGGCTCGGCACAAGCCATCATTTCTCGGAAAGGTGCTGAGTCCACCACTTGGAAAGGGAGGGACTGCAGCACCAGCAACTTGGACAGGAGGACGTTCAGCTTCTGCACCGTCGGGTGCGTGCTCGCAAACTGTTGTCTTTTGGAAACGGATTCCAAGAAAGACTGCTGACGGAATCCGTGAAGAGGAGTAGCAGGAGAAGAAGCATCTGAACGAGCGGAAGATGCCAACGAGCGACAACTCCCCTCAGCAGAGGTGTTGGAGCCTTGACTGGCTGATAGAGGGCGATTGACGTCGGGTGACGGAGCAAGTAACGGAGCGGGTGATGGAGCGGGGGCTGGGGCAGGCAGAACCCGCCGTATCTTTATCACGGTTTTTCCCAGGCCACCGAATGGCGACGCTGCATATGCTGACGCAACGCTGTAGTCCCAACATTGGCCCCCTGCCACGCTTGAATTTCTGGCCACATAGTCGACATACGGCTACGTTTACTTCCTCGGGCGGCTTGACGAAAAATTGCCACACCGCCGAGTAGGAAACTTTGCCCCCGCTACTCCTCACTGGCTGACTGCTACTTCCTCCGTGCACACCGGCACCACTACTGGCCGTGGTGGTAGGCTGCAGTGGAGCTGGTGCTCTACTCCGTGGCTGTTTGGCTCCACTGACACTGCTGCGACCCTGCTGCCTCCTGGGCAGCCCACCGACTGTTTTGCTCGCTGGCAAGCTGGCACCCTCTTCTCCTGATGATGCGGAAGCAATAGCCTGATGACGACGAGGCTGCCAAGTGCGATCAGCCTCATCATCATCAATTAGGGTCTCCGCGTCACTACTAGCCCCCTCGGCTGCATGTGGGTCAGGAGACAGACCTGTCTCTAGACCGGCTACCGAGCCACTCTCCTCGCCAGTACTTCTTCGCCTGGCTGCTGAAGAGGCGGATGTCTCCCCCCGTTCCTGACCGCCCTGTTAGCTCTTCCTCACTGTACAGTGGGGCTGAGCCCACAGCATGCGATACTTCGCTTGGTGAGGGAACACCAAAGGACAGGGGCAGGTCGAGGACACGTGATTTCAGTGGGCTTGCTCCCGGGCCATGCCAACTAACGGTTGTGTCTGACGTACCCACCGACCGTTGGCTGTAGGTGTCAGAGGTGACCTGGGAAGAGGAAGACGACCGAGTCAACCAATCGATGACGGCAGGGTTGTCGGTGGAGACACGACCGCTGGATGACACCGGGAGCACTGGCCTCTGGCTGCGACTAGTGCTGCCTCGACCCCTTCCTCTGCTGCCACGTCTGCTCGCTCCTGAAACATTGCCTCCTCTGCGTGTTGTCTGACATACACTTTAATTCAATAAGCACCCCAAAAAATAAAACCGGATTTAACTCTTTGAACGTACAATAGTGGTTGTGAAGCAGAAAGTCAGTTTATTTAGCACAATCGGTCAATTGCAGCTTGCCGTTGGCTGGAAACTGTACGTTTAGGTCACTGGAATGCACTAATCACCCAAAAAATATTACCGCCACCCGGCGTGTAAATGGATCTAACTCTTTGAACGTACAATAGTGGTTGTGAAGCAGAAAGTCAGTTTATTGTACACAATCGGTCAATTGCAGCTTGCCGTTGGCTGGAAACTGTACGTTTCTGTCACTGGAATGCACTAATCACCCAAAAAAATATTACCGCCAGCCGGCGTGTAAATGGATTTAACTCTTTGAACGTACAATAGTGGTTGTGAAGCAGAAAGTCAGTTTATTTAGCACAATCGGTCAATTGCAGCTTGCCGTTGGCTGGAAACTGTACGTTTGTGTCACTGGAATGCACTAATCACCCAAAAAATATTACCGCCAGCCGGCGTGTAAATGGATTTAACTCTTTGAACGTACAATAGTGGTTGTGAAGCAGAAAGTCAGTTTATTTTGCACAATCGGCAAACTGCAGCACCAACTGTGCACGACAGCCACCAAAAAAAAAAAGGGTGTATGTCACTTTAAATTTTCGATTCTTTGATAGCTGTGGCCCTAAGTAACGATTCTGTGTCCCTGAGTAACGATTCTGTGGCCCTGAGTAACGATTCTGTGGCCCTGAGTAACGATTCTGTGGCCCTGAGTAACGATTCTGTGGCCCTGAGTAACGATTCTGTGGCCCTAAAGTCTCTGTGGCCCTAACTCTGTCCCTTAATACACACAGGTCTGTCTCTCTTGAATGACCGGAGGCTAATGGAGAATTCTAAGATGGCCGCGATTTATAGCTCCACCATTACACAGTGCTGGCTGGCTGCTGATTGGCTAATGCGATCACATGTCATGAATGCATTATGGGTCAGCGCGCCTTGTCTGCGCGCCTTCCCAGAGATCCCCGCCCCATCTTCTCTGTCCATTTTCTCCGTCGCCACACATGTTGCCGCCATTTTTGGGAAAATTCGATTCGTGCATCCGAAGTTTGCTAATCTTCGGATTCGTCGCGAATAGAATTTTTCCAAATGTTCGGAACGAATTCCACTTCGTCATGTTCGATTCGCTCATCTCTAGTTGCTATGGATTAGTTAAATTTTCTTGAACAATAGCCAGTTTGTGGCAGACGCCAGTGAGTTACATTCACTGAATGGTTTCTTTTATTGCACTTATCAGGCACCCAAAAAGCTAACCCCTAGATCTCCTAAATGTCTCACTACAACAGCTTTATTATTAAAAAGAAAACAAATGGGAATCTACCAATTAGAGACCCCTTGTATGGTCCAGGGCAAGTGGTTGTACATGGGAATTAATAAGTACCCTACAACCGTGCTATCCAATAAATCAACAACTTTTATCAACTCTTATAATGCAAAAAGCAACTGTGGTTAAAGGTGATTGTAAAGGATTTTTTTTTAAAATAAGAAACATCTCTAGACTTACCCGCACTGCACAGAGCCACCATAAACCCCCTTTTCTCGGGGCTCTCCTGGCTCCTCCTCTATTTGTCCAGTGCCCCCATGAGAATCAGCTTCCCATGGGGGCTTTTGTGCTTCTTTGCTCCCGAGCCCCACTACTGCGTTCATTGACACAGATAGCAGGATTCCGCCCTGTCCCCCGCTCCCTCATCACTGGCTTTGATTGACAGCCCCCACAAAGCCAGTGAGACACGGAAGTGAGGGGAGAGAAAAGCTGCAGATGTTCACAGCGATGGATCGCATGAGGGATCAGGTAAGTAAAAGGGGAGAGGGGGGAGTGAAGGGCCAAAACATTTTCTACCTTAATGCAAGGAATGCATTGACCGTGCTCTTCACTGGCTCTCATCCTACCTATCTCACCACACCTTCAGCGTCAATTACATTCTCACTTCCTCCTCTCCTCTTCCTTTCTCCATTCGCCAAGGTCCAGTTCACCTTGGATCAGTTAATAGCCTTCCATGGCTTCCAATACCATTTCTATGGTGACGACACTCAAATCTCTCTACCCCATAGCTCAATCCATCAGTATCCACATGCATCATTAATCTACAAATAGACATATCAGCCTGGATGTCACACCACTTCCTGAAACTCAATCTATCCAAAACCGAGCTCATATTTTTTCCTTCCCCATGTGCCTCTCTCCCCCCCAACTTCTCTGTCAAGATTGAAGGCACAACTATCAACCCGTCCCCACATTCCAAGGTGCTAGATGTTATCCTGAATTCTGAACTATCCTTTCAGGCCCACATCCAATCACTGTCCAAACCTTGCCACCTCGCCTTACAAAACATCTCCAAAATACACCCCTTTTTAACCGCAAAGCTTCTAATTCCCTCCCTGATCATCTCTTATCTTGACTACTGCAACTTCCTCCTCACTGGATTACCCTTGCATAGGCTATCCCCCCTTCAGTCCATCAAGAATGCTGCTGCCAGACTACATCAGCTACATCACTATGCTAGTATCAAAAATCCAACCAAATAGTTTGTTTGTTCCAACCAAGACCTACTGCTCTCTAGCTCCCTTGTCACTTCCTCCCATGCTCACTTCCAGGACTTTTTCCGAGTCCCTCCCATCCTATGGAATCCCCTACCCCAATCTGTCTGTCTCCTACTCTGTCTACATTTATACGATCCCTGAAAACCCATCTCCTCAGACAAGCCTTTCCTGCCCCCACCTAGTATCTGTGCTTTATTTTCTCAATCAACTTATCTCCCACAGCTATTACATTTAATATCAATTGACCCTCCCTTCTAGATTGTAAACTCTAACGCGCAGGGTCCCGTTTCCTACTGTATTAAATTGTATTGTAATTGTACCATCTGCCCTCATGTTGTAAAGTGATGCGCAAACTGTTGGCACTATATAAATCGTGAATAAAAATAATAATTAAAAATGAAATTATTACAAAATTATCTATATCAGTGATCATTAACTTGGATATTATTATTATATTAATACAGCATTTATATAGTTCCAATAGTGTTCGCAGGGCTTTACAATATAAAAGGGAGACTGTACAGTTACAATACAATGAAATAAAAGAGGGTGATATGCCCAACCTTTTCTGTACATAACCACCTATCCTTCTAGTGTATTTTATGTGTGGCCAAGACATTACTTCTTCTTCCTATGTGGCCCAGGAAAGTGAAAAGGTTGGACACCTCCGAGTTATGCTTGGTACACACAAGAAGCTTCCCCCCCCCCCCCTTTCAACCCAGTGGGCTGAATCAAAAAAAAAGAGATTGCTGCAATAACACAAGCTATGTTAGTGAAACAATCTCCCCAGCTAAGCTATTGTGTTCTGACAGGGGGAGTAACCCACTCCAGCTGTACACACAAGCCAAAAGTCAAACGGTTTCTGCTGAACTGACTGATTTCGTCTGATATTAGGCCATGTGTACCCAGCTTTACACAGAAAGATAGTGGACTTCGCAACACTGCATATAATCTTAGCACACATTTGTGTATGTGGATACAATATTTACATAGGAACTAGAAAGTTCTGCAATTTTAATTGTTGGTGTAGTGTTCCTACAAGATTATTCAAAGAAGAAAAACTCCCCAAAAATGACCTAGGCCAGTGGTTCTCAACCTTCCTAATGCCGTGACCCTTTAATACAGTTCCTCATGTTGTGGTGACCCCCAACCATAAAATTATTTACCCAGTAATTATAATTCATGAGTGTCGTTTTACCTCCAATACCTCCAATACTGCTGCTTTCAACACAGTAGCTGCTTTCTACACAGCAGTAGCTGCTCTTTACACATCGGAAATATGTGTTTTCTGATGGTCTTAGGGGACCCCTGTGAAAGGGTCGTTCGACCCCCAAAGGGGTCGCGACCCACAGGTTGAGAACCACTGATCTAGGCTATCTATATTTATCTCACAGTCCTCACTTACCTTTGGTTCCAGAATAAGGTCAACTCTTTCATTTACTTCTTCATCCTCAGAATCAGAATTTCCTGCTTTGATATCTAGCTGCTCAAATGCCGTTTCCAGTACTTGTAATCCATAATTCACAGCTTCCTGAATTTTTGGAATCAATTCCGCTTCCTTTTGTTCTCTGGTCTTTTCCTGAGGGAATGAAGAATTAGATAAACTTAAAAAAATCTTACTTACAACATTTCAGCTGATGGAAAGAGCAAGGCAAATCATTTTTTGCTTATAATTGTAAAGTATTCAAAATGGGTGTACTGGCATATGCTGGGGTAATTGCCTGAAAGCCTCAGTGGGCAACACAAGCTCTGGCATTTGACAGCAGTGTCCACTCTTCAGCACTTTTCCCACCCTAAAGCTGAACTCTGGAACTAAAATTATAATTTAAAAATACACTGCTCAAAAATTAAAGGAACACTTTTTAATCAGAGTATAGCATCAAGTCAATTACACTCCTGGGATATTGTCCTGGTCAGTTAAGTAGCAGAGGGTTGTTAATCAGTTTCAGCTGCTTTGGTGTTAAAGAAATTAACAACAGGTATACTAGATGGGCAACAATAAGAAAACACCCAAAACAGGAATGGTTTACAGGTGGAGGCCACTGACATTTTTTCCCCTACTCATCTTTTCTGACTGTTTTTCACTAGTTTTGCATTTGGCTAGGGTCAGTGTCACTACTGGTAGCATGAGGCGATACCTGGACCCTACAGAGGTTGCACAGGCAGTTCAACTCCTCCAGCATGGCACATCAATACGTGCCATTGCCAGAAGGTTTGCGGTGTCTCCCAGCACAGTCTCATGAGCATGGAGGAGATTCCAGGAGACAGGCAGTTACTCTAGGAGAGCTGGACAGGGCCGTAGAGGGTCCTTAACCTATTAGCAAGACCAGTATCTGCTCCTTTGTGCAAGCAGGAACGGTATAAGCAATACAATATGACCTCCAGCAGGCCACTAATGTGAATGTCTCTGACCAAACAATGAAAGACAGACTTCTGGGACCAAGGGCTAGACATCCTCTAGTGTACTCACTGCCCGGAACCGTAAAGCTTGATTGGCATTTGCCATTGAACACCAGAATTGGCATGTCCAGCACTGGCATCATGTGCTTTTCACAGATGAAAGCAGGTCCAGCCTGAACACGTGACAGACGTCAAAGGGTCTGGCGTAGACGTGGAGAACATTATGATGCCTGCAACATTGTTCAGCATGACCGTTTTGGTGCATAACCTAGGAGGGACGCACAGACCTCTACAGACTATACAATGGCACCCTGACTGCAATTAGGTATCAGGATGAAATCTTTGGACCTATCATTGTCAGACCCTACACTGGTGCAGTGGGTCCTGGGTTCCTCCTGGTGCGCGACAATGCCCAGCCTCATGTGGTGAGAGTATGCAGGCAGTTCCTGGAGGATGAAGGAATTGATACCATTGAATGGCCCCCATGCTCGCCTGACCTAAATCCAACAGACCACCTCTTGGATATCACGTTTTGGTCCTTCCGACGCCACCAGGTAGTGCTTCAGACTGTCCAGGAGCTCAGTGATGCCTTGGTCCAGATCTGGGAAGAAATACCCCAGGACACCATCTGTCGTCTCATTAGGACATTGTCAGGCATGCATACAAGCACGAGGGGGCCATACAAACTACGGAGTACCAATCTGAGTTGCTGCAATGAAATTTCAGCAAAATGGACTAGCCTGCTGCATCATTTTTTCACTTTGATTTTTTGAGGTGTCTTTGGATTCAGTCCTCTGTAGGTTGATAATTTTCATTTCCATCAAACGCTGGGACGTCCTTACATTCCTAACACATTACCCAGTCCATATCAGTATAGATATCCAGCATGATATTTTTCCCCATTGAGATCCGACGTGTTTAATTTTGTTCGAGCAGTGTATTTGTGTGCACCAAAAGCCTTTGCAAAACCAGATATTGTCTTGTAAATGTAGTGATGACATCATCACTGTTCTGCACATAGCCTTTGGAGAAAGGACTATGGGAGGGACCAAGCAGGGCCCACCCACCACAGGCTTACTGCAGAAAACTACAGGAGAGCATGGATATAAGACAAGTCACCCTGAACAGGGAGAGAGAGCAGCAGTGACTGGTCTCTATTACAGAGAAGCTCCTGCACAAGTTTCACAGTGGATTGCAGCACAGACCTGGAAGGAATACACAAAGCACATAAATATTCGAGGAAGAACACACATGATACTTACTGGCTTATCCCAGAGTTCAGCTTTAATAGAGAGATGTCAGCTAATAGAACTGATCATTACAATATACTAGAAGATGAATGTTCACAATTAGAGGATGATAAATAGATGAAAACATATGCCACCTACTTGTTCAGGCTTCTCTCCTTGCTCAGACTTTACAATATGTTCTTCAACCTCTTCATCATACACTCTCTAGAAAACAAAATATAATGATGAAATACAAAGACATGATAGCCTTGCACTAAGGGGAACATGTTAGTTGCCACTGTAGACCCCTTACTGAAAATGCTAGTTGCCTGGCTTAAATACTTTCTGTCAATGACCTGAAATATGCAGCGAGTTAGGTCCGAGTGAACTCAGAACTATCTGCCCCTTTGTTTTGGGTCAGTGTCTCAGAGTACTTAGGTCAATGGATCAATTTGACAGCCAGGCAAGAAGTATTTACAGAAGGAAAAAGCAGCCTACTCCTTGCCGTACAGATGAATGATCACACTTAGCCATCTATGAGTAGCTGTACAAGTTGTTATAAGTTTGCAATTTCACTGTCACAGTTATAAAGAGAAGGCTTTATTGATAAATCTCACTAGAATAATGCCATTATTGACAGATACATAAAGCAGTGAAAAATGTCAGCTTTGAGTGCCAAGTCCTGCTTAGGACTATAACCATACTTAGTGTGTAACCTGAAAAATGGTTGCATTGCCCACCCTCTTACCAAAGTCGTAGAGCAGTGTTATCTTAAATTTGGTGTTGTTTCACCTATACAGCCGTGTCATCCATTCACAAGGATCAGTGAATAGAAGACTACAAGTCCCATCTGCCAGGGGGACTTGTAGATTTCAATGGAACATAAGTCTGGTGATATCACTGGACTCATAGTCCACTGATTACTTCCTCTAGCCCCATAACTGAAGGTCCATACTTCTACATGGACCTGGTCTGCAGGAGCCTGTATATTGATTGTGGTTATAATGCTTTGCAAGCTCCAAAGCAAAAAAAAAAAAAATTCAAAAAATACATTCCTTGATATCGATGCATTTGTTCACTGTTTTTCCAAAAAGTGGACAATGCCTTTAAGTGGTGTGCAATTTCTGTGTTGCAACTTCCCTAAGAGGCAGAGCTTAGCACTTACATTTTCAATGAACTGTGTGTTGGACAGCATAAGAAAATCATTAAAGACATTGTGTAGCCTGCAGTCAGTGGCCTTTACTTCACGGACCAGTCCATCCAGTTGTTTCTCAATCTCATGTGTTCTTGATATAGTTTGCTGGGAGAATTCCTTGAGAAAATTCAAGAGCTAAAAAAAAAAAATAGAAATATGTTCATGCTGCATTTACTGTGACCACAGACTAAAGACATTTATTAAAAAGTAACACAAATGTACATATTATGATTTCAGTGTGGGCAGCAGTCAGTGTGAGCTCCAGCAGTATGACGAGTGCTTCAGTGAATTACAGCTTACTTTTTCCAACTTTATTTGAAGTGTCACATAGTGAAACTGCATTTGTGTGTTTGCACAGCAGCACAGTGCATTTATCCACACTGCACATCACTCCAGTGTTGTGGCCTGAACAAGGCTCATAAAAAAACAATGGTTTTCTACGTGACCTGCGTTTATCCAGTGTGGGAAAAAAGCACCACATAGTGTGTATGACCCCGAGTTGTTGATCTGATGTAAACAATTTTCATTTAAATGTAAAAAAGATATTAGAATGCATGAATGGATATCAAATATACTACTCTAAACCCCAGTTGCCCTAACTGCAGCCATCTGACACTTTTTGTGGTCCTGGGGCCCCCTAAAGACTCTTGTGTCCTGCCCACCACTTGCATCCTGCCCGCCCTCTCTGCCCATCTCTTGCATCCTGCCCGCCCTCTCTGCCCTTCTCTTGCATCCTGCCCGCCCTCTCTGCCCAGCTCTTGCATCCTGCCCGCCCTCTCTGCCCAGCTCTTGCATCCTGCCCGCCCTCTCTGCCCAGCTCTTGCATCCTGCCCGCCCTCTCTGCCCATCTCTTGCATTATGTTTGCCCTCTCTGCCCATCTCTTGCATCCTGTCCGCCTCTCTGCCCATCTCTTGCATCCTGTCCGCCCTCTCTGCCCATCTCTTGCATCCTGCCCGCCCTCTCTGCCCATCTCTTGCATCCTGCCCGCCCTCTCTGCCCATCTCTTGCATCCTGCCCGCCCTCTCTGCCCTTCTCTTGCATCCTGCCCGCCCTCTCTGCCCATCTCTTGCATCCTGCCCGCCCTCTCTGCCCATCTCTTGCATCCTGCCCGCCCTCTCTGCCCATCTCTTGCATCCTGTCCGCCCTCTCTGCCCATCTCTTGCATCCTGCCCGCCCTCTCTGCCCATCTCTTGCATCCTGTCCGCCCTCTCTGCCCATCTCTTGCATCCTCTCTGTCCGCCCTCTCTGCCCATCTCTTGCACCCTGCCCGCCGTCTCTGCCCATCTCTTGCACCCTGCCCGCCGTCTCTGCCCATCTCTTGCACCCTGCCTGCCGTCTCTGCCATCTCTTGCATCCTGCCCGCCGTCTCTGCCCATCTCTTGCGTCCTGCCCACCTCTTGTATCATGACATTGGTCTTTGACTATATCACGTTGTGTGTCTGCTGTCTCTGAAGCTGAATATATTCACTTAATTTTATGTGTGGCCCTTTGGTGATGTCAGAGGCCGCACTTAAGGTCCCCCATATCAGGAAAGTTGACCACCACTGCTGTAAACTGACAATCTGTAATTTTACAGGGTCACATACTTTCCTCTGCTGTATAAGCATTTTACTTACAACAACCGTTATCATTCCTATTACAGTACGCACCCAATGTTCAGCATGGTTTGTTAAAGCAGAACTTTATGATAAATGTAAATGTTTGCAAGAAGGAGGGGTTTTTTTTCTAGCAGATGAGATATTAAGCAATAAAAGATTCTCACCTTCCTTTTAACAAACTTCCTAAACTGTACACTGTGCGTATGCATGGGCTCTGCTAGAATGGTAACTACTTCTCCACCTGCAATGGGAAATCTGATATTTATTCTCTGCTCCAACAATACAGACTTTGGGAGTTTTTCCATTAGGAATTTATACCTTTCCCTCTCCAATTCATAACCAGTGGAACTATTATTCTGTGGTTGCTATTCGTTTGCTATTACCATCCCTCCAAGATGATCTGAATGCTGGGAGGTAGAGATGAGCTTTCTAATCATGTGACTGTCACGATTGCCTGTCATTGTTTATGACTGGGAGCATGCAGTGACCACACTGTTAGCACAGGAAATCTGTTCCTCATGGAAGCATATGTGTGATGGCTCAGCATTAAAGCCCACCAGCTGCATATGTGTGTATGACTGGTAGGAATGATTTAGTGGCTATAATTAGGACCTGGCATATACCAGGGTAGGTTACTCACTGGATTTGTATACCATGTGCTATAGGCTTCATGCACAGTGGCCAGGTAGAAGGCACAGGCACACCAACCAGATATGCTGGCAGGCTGCAAAACTCTATGAGAGGGTGAAAGCTGCTATGGCTGGATAGTGAGTGGTGATAACACAGGCATCTGGATAATGAGTGGTGATAACACAGACATCTGGATGGCGAGTGGTGATAACACAGGCATCTGGATGGCGAGTGGTGATAACACAGGCATCTGGATGGCGAGTGGTGATAACACAGGCATCTGGATGGCGAGTGGTGATAACACAGGCATCTGGATGGCGAGTGGTGATAACACAGGCATCTGGATAGTGAGTGGTGATAACACAGGCATCTGGGTGGTGAGTGGTGATAACACAGGCATCTGGATGGCGAGTGGTGATAACACAGGCATCTGGATGGCGAGTGGGGATTAAACAGACATCTGGATGGCGAGTGGGGATTAAACAGACATCTGGATGGTGAGTGGGGATTAAACAGACATCTGGATGGTGAGTGGGGATTAAACAGACATCTGGATGGTGAGCGGGGATAACACAGGCATCTGGGTGGTGATTGGTGATAACACAGGCATCGGGATGGTGAGTGGTGATAACACAGGCATCTGGGCACATGCTGCTGTAAGAGTTAGTACCACAGCTGTCAGCCTCTCATAGAGTTTACCAAGTTGCTGGCAGCAGGGTGCTATCTCCCCCATGAAAATACCAGGTTGTCATGTCACAGGGGCTAAAAGGCAGGGTGCATAAGGCCACATGTAACAATCAGAGATGAGCTTCCAAACTCAACTCTATCCAAAATTGAAGGTCATGCTCTTTTTTTAATAAAGTGGCTGTAAAGTCTTAAGGTTTTTTTCACCTTCATGCATTCTATGCATGAAGAAAAATCACTTCTGTGTGCAGCAGTGCACCCCCCCCCCCCCCAATGCTTAACTGAGCTCCCTCTAAATGAATGAAGTGCATGAGAGCACCGGCTCCCCCAGGTCTTTCCATCCTCATTGGCTAAGGCAGCAGCAGCAGCAGCAGCAGCCACTAATTCCCACTACTGTCAATCACAGCCAGTGAATGGTCACACAGAGCAACAGCTCAGGAGCCCCCACAGCAAGCTGCTTGCTTTGGGGGTACTCAGCAGAAGGGAGGGGCCAGGAGCCCTGGCGAGCGACCTGAGAAGAAGAGGATCAAGGCTGCTCTGTGTAAAATTATTGCACAGAGAAGGTAAATAGGACATGTTTGTAATTAAAAAAAAAATAAAATCTGCCTTTAATATCACTTTAAGTCTAATCAGCTGCTGACCTGGGTTATAGATTCCACTGCAATACCTGTATACACAGGGAGGGATGCTGGTGATGTCAGTGCCCTTATATGGACACATGCCTACTTTTAGCCAATTGTCATTGACTAAATATAAGCAGGGTGTCCATATAAGGGCACTGACATCACCAGCATCCCTCCCCTTAGTTTAACCACTTCAAGTCTGGACACTTTTACCCCCTTCCTGTCCAGGCCAATTTTTCAGCGCTATCACACTTTGAATGACAATTGCACGGTCATGCAACACTGTACCCATATGAATTTTTTAGCATTTTTTTTTTAGATAAAGCTTTATTTTGGTGGTATTTATTCACCACTGGGATTTTTTTTTTTTTTTTGCTATATAAATGAAAAAGTCCAAACATTTTGAAAAAAAGTGTTTTTCTTATAAAATTTTGCAAATAAATATTTCATCAAAAAATTTGGCCAAAATGTATTCAGTTATCTTTTTTTTACATGCTGTCACCCTAGCAGTACAGTGTCACCATGGTGACACTGTACTACTTGTGGGGGGGTAATGAAGATTTTTTTTTTTTACACTGTACAAGCAGTTTTTAAAGGCTGTACAAGCAATCATTTCTCCTTCTCTTTGCCTGCATTCTTGCAGTCATTGAGAACTACTGTGTGAGCTGTGATTGGTCACAGCTTGTCACATGGTACAAGGCTGTTGTGAATAGCCCTGTACCATGTGACCTCTGTGATCATTTACAGATTTCACAGAGGTCACATGGTACAGGGCTATTCACAACAGCCTTGTACCATGTGACAAGCTGTGACCAATCACAGCTCACACAGTAGTTCTCAATGGCTGCAAGAATGAAGAAGTGACATCTTGCTTACTACTCTGCATGTGATCACTGATTGGCCAATCAGTGATCACATGATCGGGACCTCACACAGGGGTCCCATACGACGATCGGACCAGACTGTGGGAGCGCGCACAGTCAAAAATGGCGGGTGCCGTTTATGAACAGCAACCCGTCCCTGCACTGTCACCGTCCGGCCGTTTATATACAGCGGCCGGACGGGAAGTGGTTATGTATGCTGCAGGATGAGGAATGACTCAGCCTGAAGCTGGACTAGAAAGTAGCACAAAATGTAAGTTTGGATAGAGGTGAGAAGATGCCTGAACTCATCTCTAGTGACAATGTGGTATGTCATTAAAGAGTATAATGGCCTACATATAAAACGATCAGCCATATCATTATGACCACCCATCACGGTATGGACTCCATTAGACCTCTAAAGGTATGCTGCGGTATCTGGCACCAGTCTAGTAGGTTGCAAGGTGGGGCTTCCATGGATCAGATATGTTTTTGTAGGGCATTCCACAGATGCTCGATTGGATTGAGATCTGGCGAATTTGGAGGCCAAGTCAACACCTCAAACTCATTGTTGTGTTCCTCAAAACCATTCTTAAATTCATCATATCAGACCACCTTCCATTGCTCCATTGTCCAGTTATGATGCTCACATGCCTATTGTAGGCGCTTTTGGCTGCGGACACGGGTCAGCATGGGCACCTTGATCAGTCTGCAGCTACACAGCCCCATACACAACAATGTCGAAGGACTGTGTATTCTAATACCTTTCTATCAAAATCAGCATTAACTTTTGCAGCAATTGAAGCTACAGTAGCTCTTCTCTTGGATTGGACAACACAGACCAACCTTCCACCCCACGTATATCAATGAGCCTTGGTCGCCCATGACCCAGTCACTGGCTTTCTTTCCTTGGACCACATTTGGTAGGTCCTGACCACTGAAGACAAAATCTGCAGTTTTGAAGTTGCTCTGACCCAGTCGTCTATCCATTACAATTCAGTCCTTGTCAAAGTCGCTAAAATCCTTACACTTGCCCAATTTGTCAATGTTATTCACTTTGCCTGTCAGTGTCCTAATCTTATGGCAGATCGGTGTGTAGATCTCCAGATATGGGACACACAGCAGTGGTTTTACATTCAACAATGGAGCACAAGAGCTGTGATGTCCCTGCGCTGGCGGTCATTCATGGGTGCAGACTGCCCGGGAGGTCCACAAACCATCCACCTATTACACACTGATCACAGTTCAATGCTCCGCAGACTTCAATGTAGACTAATAAGTGCTCAGTTTTACTGTATGAATGGGAGGTTGGGAGGTGCCCTGGGTGACATTCGCAAGCGAGCTGCCCTGGCGGACGTACGAGTGCGAGCTGCCCTGGGTGACATACGAGTGCGAGCTGCCCTGGGTGACATACGAGTGCGAGCTGCCCTGGGTGACATACGACTGCGAGCTGCCCTGGGTGACAAACGGGTGTGAGCTGCCCTGGGTGACATACGACTGCGAGCTGCCCTGGGTGACAAACACGTGCGAGCTGCCCCAGGTGACATCTGCCTGCGAGCTGCCCGGGTGACATACGCAGGCGAGCTGCCCCGGGTGACATACGCAGGCGAGCTGCCCCGGGTGACATACGCAGGCGAGCTGCCCCGGGTGACATACGCAGGCGAGCTGCCCCGGGTGACATACGCAGTCGATCTGCCCCGGTGACATACGAAGGCGAGCTGCCCCGGGTGACATACGAAGGCGAGCTGGCCCCGGGTGACATACACGTGCGAGCTGCCCCGGGTGACATAGGTATATGAGGTTTCCCATGTCCTTATTCTGATTGATCAGAGAGGAAGACTAAGGTGCAGTCCAGGCACATAGCACTCACCCCAGCATCGGCCCCCAGAGACCAGCTGTCACTGCTCCTTCCGATCTCCTCCAGGCTCCATGCTCTCTCCCACACCGCCTCCTCCCCGGTACAGCTCACAGGCCCGTTCATCCCGGATCACACCGACAGCGACACGTACGGGGAGCCGACAACACTTCACTCTACTCTCACATAGGCACCATGTTGGAGCTGCTCAGCTGACCGCCATCATGTGACCTGCTTCCGCCACGTGACAGGACCGGGAGAGATGGATGCTCAACACAGGCAACTGCTGACAGTGTGCGCGTCCCCTGCCGCTCGTATGTGTCACCGGGCAGAGCTCAGGGGCACTGGGCTCCACATACAGAGCGATCAGTGTGTGCGATATAAATAACAGCATACATACTGCACTGACAGCTTATATATAAACAGAAGATATGGGCTTGCTTTACTAAAGGCAAATAGGCTGTGAAATTTCCCCAGAATGTGTGAATGTTTACTTCACAGAGAATACCCAATCACATGTAAGGAAACATTTTTACTTCCACATGGTTGGATAATGGAAGTCAGCGGAGCTTCATTCACTAATCTCTGGGGAAATTGCACTTCCTAAGTGATACAGCATGTTTCCATCAAGTAAATCAACCCTGTATATTCCACTTTTTCTCCTGCTGACTTCCCAATCCCCAAAACCTGACCCCCAGACTTCCTCTCCTAATCCTCCCAATCTCCAAAACCTGACCCCAGACTTCCTCTCCTGATCGCCCTTATCCCTCCCATCTCCAAAACCTGACCCCAGACTTCTTCTCCTGATCCCCCCAATCACCAAAACCTGACCCCAGACTTCCTCTCCTGATCCCCCTTACCCCTCCCATCTCCAAAACCTGACCCCAGGCTTCCTCTCCTGATCCCCCCCATCTCCAAAACCTGACCCACACACTTCCTCTCCTGATCGCCCTTATCCCTCCCATCTCCAAAACCTGACCCCAGACTTCCTCTCCTGATCCCCCTTACTTCTCCCATCTCCAAAACCTGACCCCAGACTTCCTCTCCTGATCCTCCCAATCTCCAAAACCTGACCCCAGACTTCCTCTCCTGATCGCCCTTATCCCTCCCATCTCCAAAACCTGACCCCAGACTTCCTCTCCTGATCCCCCCAATCACCAAAACCTGACCCCAGACTTCCTCTCCTGATCCCCCTTACCCCTCCCATCTCCAAAACCTGACCCCAGGCTTCCTCTCCTGATCCCCCCCATCTCCAAAACCTGACCCCACACTTCCTCTCCTGATCGCCCTTATCCCTCCCATCTCCAAAACCTGACCCCAGACTTCCTCTCCTGATCCCCCTTACTTCTCCCATCTCCAAAACCTGACCCCAGACTTCCTCTCCTGATCCTCCCAATCTCCAAAACCTGACCCCAGACTTCCTCTCCTGATCGCCCTTATCCCTCCCATCTCCAAAACCTGACCCAGACTTCCTCTCCTGATCCCCCTTACCCCTCCCATCTCCAAAAACCTGACCCCAGGCTTCCTCTCCTGATCCCCCTAATCTCCAAAACCTAACCCAGACTTCCTCTCCTGATCCCTCCACCCTTCCCATCCCCAAAACCTAACCCCAGACTTCCTCTCCTGATCCCTCCACCCTTCCCATCCCCAAAACCTAACCCCAGACTTCCTCTCCTGATTCCCCTTACCCCTCCAAAACCTGACCCCAAGTTTCCTCTCCTGATCCCCCAATCTCCAAAACCTGACCCCAGACTTCCTCTCCTGATCCCCCTTACCCCTCCCATCTCATAAACCTGACCTCAGACTTCCTCTCCTGATCCCCCTTACCCCTCCCATCTCCAAAACCTGACCCCAGGCTTCCTCTCTTGATCCCCCCAGTCTCCAAAACCTGACCCCAGACTTCCTCTCCTGATCCCTCTTACCCCTCCCATCTCCAAAACCTGACCCCAGGCTTCCTCTCCTGATCCCCCTTACCCCTCCCATCTCCAAAAGCTGACCCCAGACTTCCTCTCCTGATCACTCCACCCCTCCCATCTCCAAAATCTGACCCCAGACTTCCTCTCCTGATCCCCCTTACTCCTCCCATCTCCAAAACCTGACCCCAGGCTTCCTCTCCTGATCCCTCCCCAATCTCCAAAACCGTACCCCAGACTTCCTCTCCTGATCCCCCCCACCCCTCCCATCTCCAAAACTTGACCCCAGACTTCCTCTCCTGATCACTCCACCCTCACATCTCCAAAACCTGACCCCAGACTTCCTCTCCTGATCCCCCTTACTCCTCCCATCTCCAAAACCTGACCCAGGCTTCCTCTCCTGATCCCCCTTACCCCTCCAATCTCCAAAACCTGACCCCAGGCTTCCTCTCCTGATCCCCCCAATCTCCAAAACCTGACCCCAGACTTCCTCTCCTGATCACTCCACCCCTCTCATCTCCAAAATCTGACCCCAGACTTCCTCTCCTGATCCCCCTTACTCCTCCCATCTCCAAAACCAGACCTCAGACTTCCTCTCCTGATCCCCCTTACCCCTCCCATCTCCAAAACCTGACCCCAGGCTTCCTCACCTGATCCCCCCAATCTCCAAAACCTGACCCCAGACTTCCTCTCCTGATCCTCCCAACCCCTCCCATCTCCAAAACCTGACCCCAGACTTCCTCTCCTGATCCCCCACCCCTCCCATCTCCAAAACCTGACCCCAGGCTTCCTCTCCTGATCCCCCCAATCACCAAAACCCGACCCCAGACTTCCTCGCCTGATCCCCCCACCCCTCCCATCTCCAAAACCTGACCCCAGGCTTCCTCTCCTGTTTTCCCCAATCTGCAAAACCTGACCACAGACTTCCTCTCCTGATCCCCCCACCCTCCTATCTCCTCTCCTGATCCCCCTATCCCAAAAACCTGACCTCAGGCTTCCTCTCCTCTTGTTCACCCCCCTCATCCACAAAACATGTTCCCAGGCTTCCTCTTCTCTGATCACCCCCCCCCCCCAGCCCCAAAACCTGACTCCAGGCTTCTACTCCTCCAGATCACCATCCAAACCCCAACACCTGACCCCAGGCTTCCTCTACTACTGACCCCCGCCTTCCCCCCATCTCCAAAACCTAACCCCAGGCTTCCTCTCCTCCTGTTCACCCCCCATCCACAAAACCTGACCCCAGGCTTCCTCTCCTCCTGTTCACCCCACCCCCCCATCCACAAAACCTGTTCCAAGGCTTTTTCTCCTCCTGATCACCCTCCCCCCCCCATCCAACCCCAAAACCTGACCTCAGGCTTCCACTCCTCCTATTCACCCCCCGAACCACAAAACCTGACCCCAGGCTTCCTCTCCTTATCCCCCCTATCTTCAAAACCTGATCCCAGGCTTCCTCTCCTCCTGTTCACCCCCCCCCCATCCACAAAAACCTGTTCCCAGGGTTCCTCTACTACTGATCCCCCAGCCCCGAAACCTGACCCCAGGATTCCTCTACTACTGATCACATCCCCCCATCCACAAAACCCTGTTCCCAGGCTTTTTGTCCTCCTGATCAACCCCCCCCCACCACCCCAAAACCTGATCCTAGGCTTCCACTACTACTGATACCCCCCTATCTTCCAAACCTGACTCTGGGGTTCCTCTCTTGATAACCCCCCCAGTCCCAACACCTGGCCCCAGGCTTCCTCTACTACTTATTCCCCCCCCTCCCCATCTCCAAAACCTAACCATAGGCTTCCTTTCCTCCTGATCACCCCCCCATCCAAAAAACCTGACTCCAGGCTTCCTTTACTTCTAATCACCCCCCTCCCCCATATCCACAAAACCTGACACCAGGTTTCCTCTACTACTGATTCCCCCCACCATCTCCAAAACCTGACTCCAGGCTTCCTCTCCTACTGATCACCCCCTCCCCAGCCCCAACACCTGACCCCAGGTTTCCTCCATTACTGATCCCCCCACCCCCCATCTCCAAAACTTATCCCCAGGCTTTCTCTACTACTGACCCCCACCCCCATCTCCAAAACCTGACTCCAGGCTCCCTCTCCTGATCACGCCCCAAGCCCCAACACCTGAGCCCTGGCTTCCTCCACTACTGATCCCCCCATCACTATCTCCAAAACCTAACCCCAGGCTTCCTGTCCTGCTGATCCCCCCCCCCCTGTCCATAAATGTGACCCCAGGGTCCTTTCCTCTTGACCAATCCCCTATCCAAAAGTTCAAGCCATGATTTGTCCATAATTGTGATGATTATGGCTTACAGCTCATGAAAACCCCAAATCCACAATCTCAGAAAATTAGAATATTACATGCAATCAATAAAACAAGGATTGTACATAGAACAATATCGGACCTCTGAAAAGTATAAGCATGCATATGTACTCAGTACTTGGTTTGGGCCCCTTTTGCAGCAATTACTGCCTCAATGCGGCGTGGCATGGAAGCTATCAGCCTGTGGCACTGCTGAGGTGTTGAAGACCAGGATGCTTCAATAGCGGCCTTCAGCTCTTCTGCATTGTTCGGTTTCATGTCTCTCATCTTTCTCTTGGCAATGCCCCATAGATTTTCTATGGGGTTCAGGTCAGGCTAGTTTGCTGGCCAATCAAGCACAGTAATCCCACGGTCATTGAACCAGGTTTTGGTGTTTTTGGCAGTATGGGCAGGTGCCAAGTCCTGCTGGAAAATGAAGTCAGCATCCCCATAAAGCTCGTCTGTGGAAGGAAGCATGAAGTGCTCCAAAATCTCCTGGTAGACGGCTGGGTTGACCCTGGACTTAATGAAGCACAGTGGACCAACACCAGCAGATGACATGGCTCCCCAAATCAACACAGACTGTGGAAACTTCACACTGGACTTCAAGCATCTTGCAGTGTGTGCCTCTCCATTCTTCCTCCATACTCTGGGTCCTTGGTTTCCAAATGAGATGCAAAAGTTGCTCTCATCAGAAAAGAGGACTTTGGACCACTGAGCAACAGACCAGGTCTGTTTTTCTTTAGCCCAGGTAAGACGCTTCTGACGTTGTTTGTTGTTCAGGTCTCAGGGGTTTTTACCATCACTTCAAACACGAAATAAAATATATATCAAAGCTCCTGGCTTCTTTTCGCAGCATCACTGCTCAGGCTTCCAGCCTAGGCCTTTTGTTTTGGTCCTTCAGAC